TTTCAGTGCTCCTGGAGGAATCTATCTGGTCCTTCTGCTTTCCCCGATTTCAGTGACTTTATGGCCTTCAGGACTTCACTTCTGCATTTGTCGGAGGGTCTTTGTTCTTTGATGGTTCTGTGGCTGGGCTACCGATGGTATTTCCGGATTAATTCCGGGTGTTGGTCGATTCAAGAGCTTTTTGAAGTGGTCAGCCCATCGTTTCCTTTGTTCCTTCTCTTCGGTAATTAAGTTTCCTTCACTATCTTTTATTGGTTTTATCTGTGTTGATCTCTTCCCTCCCTGATAGTAACCTGGTTATTTGATATAATGTTGTCAGGTCTCTCCTACCTGCAGCCTGCTCTACTTCACTTGGAAGTGTATCGTAAAAGTGGCTTTTGTCTTTCCGTTCACTCTTCTTCACTTCTTTGTCCAATGTTTTCTAGGTTGTATTCAGTTCCTCTTTTTGTTGTTCATTCCTGCGCTGCAATGCACTGCGCCTGCTCATATTCTGCTTCACCATCTTCCTCTCCTCTATCAGCTTCCATGTTTCCATCGAGACCCATTCCTTGTCTTACTTCTTCTTCCTTCCCAACACAGTTATGCAGGCTTCTTTCTACATCTCTCTCAAAGAGTCCCAGTGTTCTTCCACGCAGGTTTCTTCAGGAATATTGCCTAATGTTTCTCATTATGTCCTGATGGCTGACTGACGTGAAGATGTCTTTGAGGTTTCGTCCTTCAGTTTCTGTTCTGGGTGTTGAACTTGAACTGTGGTCGTCTGTGACCAGCTTGTTTGAAGGCTTTCAACTTAATTTTGAAGGCAGATAGTAAGTGGTGTGAACCTTCATCTGCTCCTCTTCTTGATCTTGTGTCCAGTAGGAAATAAAAGGAATAATTTTGTTCTTAACCATCCTTGCTAGCAGTAAGTGATTCTGAACGATTATTTAGTTTTTGTTCATCTTGGTTACTCGTAGTGGAATCCAGGACATCAGTTTCGTGCTATTTGAGACTCGTCAGGGGAATATACCTGCACCTCCAGTAAGTGATGTTGCTCCCACTGAGATTCAAATGTACTAACCATGGCTTCAAACCTCAGGACGTTATCGACCAGGTCACTTGACCCCAACCAGCCAATCTGGTGAATCCGCGAAATACACCCTTCGAGTTTCTGGAGATTCGATGGCTAGCTGTCGCGGTCTTCCAGGTGTATGCATAGTTTTAAGCACTAGGGCAGAAAACTCACTACTAGACTGCATCCCAGTTGATAGTCGCCACTGCACTATCCGAACGAACGGCACAGTGAGAACTAAAAGGAATAGTGAGACTCGCCGTTGTCTCTTTGTAATCTCTGCTTACGCACCCACTGATTGTAGTTCGGATGAAGTAAAGGACGAGTTCTACCGTAAACTCTCTAGCCTCCTCTCGAAAGCCAAACGTTCGGATGTGGTGGTTGTTGCAGGTGACCCCAACGCACAGGTGGGTAGACTGAGTGAGGCAGAAAGGCACTTAGGTGGCACTTTCGGAATCCCAGCCGAACGTACAGATAACGGTGATCGCCTGTTACAACTATGCTCAGATAACCACCTATTTTTAGCCAGCACAATTTCAGACATAAAGAAAGGCACTGTCTGACCTGGCGTCCACCGAGCTCGACTCAGTGATGGACACAGATAGACCACATAGGTATTAGTGATCGCTGGAGAGGATCGGTGGAAGACTGCCGCTCCTTCTGGAGTATGTGTTTAGATAGCGATCACGCGTTGATCCGAGCGTGTATATGCCTGCGTCTCAATGGACGTAAGAAAAATATGGCAACAAAACCACTACCAGCGCTGCTGGACAACGAAAACACCAAAGCCGTGTCCAGTGAGGAGTTGGCTAGGCAGTTATCGGGACAAAATACTGTCACTCATCCAGAAGAAGCCTGGTGCCATCTTCAGTCTGCTGTAAAAGCAGCACTGAAGACCGTACCTGACTCCGAAATAGTGGCAAAAAAGAGCCAGTGGATATCAGCAGCTTCTTTCGAACTAATGGATGCACGTGAATGCATCCCTGCAGGCTCTGAGTACAATGAAGAGCGAGCGCAACTTAAAAGTAGACTGATGAAAAGTCTACACAACGACCGTGAACAGTGGTGGGCAGCGAAGACCAAAAAGGTGGAAAAAGCAGTGGCGACTGATAACAGTAGACAGTTATTTAGACTTATTAAGGAAACTGGGGGGGGGGGAGGGGGGAGGTCAACAACAGTTAAAGAGGCTATGGCGGGGAAGGATGGATCTGCGATTCAGTCTCAGGGGAGATGACTGAACGATGGGCAGAACGCTTCGAGGGACAATTTAACTAGCCTCCAGCCACCATTGCGTCGCCTGCTATCCAGTCAGATCCTCAATGGGACATAGAGATAGGCCTCCCAACACTGGGGGAAGTCGAGAAAGCGGTAGGTAACCTGAAACGAGGAAGGGTAGCAGGACCAGACGGACTAACTCCTGAGGTATGCAAGGATGGTGGTAAGGTGCTCTTAGTCAAGTTAACGGAAGTGTTGACCAGTATATGAGAATCAAATACGATCTCCTCCGACTGGTCTAAGTCACTCATCATCCCAGTCTTCAAGAAAGGCGAGAAGTCCTCTTGTGATGACCACAGAGGAATCAGCCTGACGAACATAGTGTCCAACATCCTAGGTCCTATAATTCTCCGACGCCTGAGTGGAGCTCGGGAACAATAAGCCCTAGAAAACCGGGCAGGCAGGTTTTAGACCTGGCCGTGGATGTATCGACCAAATATTCACACTGCACCAGGTCCTGGAACATAGGCATGCTTACCGACGCCCGACACTGGCTGTATTTCTCGACTTGAAGGCGGGATTCTACTCCGTTGATAGAGAAGTCGTATGACAATGTCTCTCAGTGAAAGGCGTGGTGAGTAAGTACATCACTTTATTGAAGGCTCTCTACTCGAACACTTGCGAGCGTGTTAGGGCCTATGGTGAGATGTCAGATGAGCTGTATTCATCGTGTGGTGTCCGTCAAGGGTCCCCATTCTCTCCATTTTTATTCAATTTTATCATAGATATTTTATGTAGGTCTCCCTCTCGTCGCCTGATTACACAGATGTTGACCTAATCGGTGGAGAATTTTTGTTAGACCTAGAATATACAGATGACATATAGTCCTGTTAGGTGAAGAGGCTGACAAGATGTAGAGTTTTCTGAACACCTTGAATAGCAATTTGAGAATGTTTGGATGCGGTTCTCACCGCCCAAATGCAAATTGTTGCTCCAGGATTGGTCTTCAACGGTGCCCACCACGGCTAACAATAGAGAGTGTAGTGGTTGAGTGTGTTGACCACTTCACTTACCTGGGAAGTAGGATCATCCCTGGTGACCGGCTCAGTGGCCGATGAAATCTCTGCACAAATACAAAAGGCTCGATTGGTTTTCGCCAACTTACGCCACCTGTGGCACCACCGCGATATCGGATTGTCTATTAAGGGTCGCGTATACTGCACAGGAGTCCACTCTCTTCTACTGTATGGGTATGAAACATGGCCATGGAAGGTGGAAGACATGAGAAGGCTGGCTTCAAGTGTTTGACCACCGTTGCCTTTGTAGTATAGATCGTATTCTGTGGTGTCATCACGTGAGTAGTGCAGAATTCAGGTGTAGAGTTTTAGGGAGAGGTAAGTAAGTTGACACGATTGTGAACCTTCACCGACTCAGATGGCTAGCTGGAACATGTGTTACGTATACCTAGTCGCCGATTGCCTCGTCACACAATGTTGGCTGAAGTAGGTTCAGACTGGAAAAGGGCTTGGGGCGACCAGACTAAAACATGACATCAATGTATGAAGTCTCTGACTGTTGGTTTGAGTCATATGGGGAGATGCAGACTAGGTGGTTGGGGTCCACGGGACAAGAGGAACCAGTGGTTGGAGACTGACTGTAGGTGATATGGCTCAGAACCGACGTCAGTGGCGGAGATGTGTACACACATTATCCTCATCTTACCGACGTTATTACAGAATCTCGCCACTTTCTCATTCTTCGTTTCTCTCTTTTCGTACTTTATATTTCATTTGACTGAATTTTCTTTTCTTCATGTTGCACCTTACTGCCTTTTACTTGATGTACTGATATGAGGTGTGGCAACTCGGACCGTTACGCAGTAGTGCCTGGTTCATTGTTGATATTGATAATGATGTATACTGATGGAAGAGACTAAAATAAAGATTTTGTTACAAACTAGAAGTCTGTGAACTTCATTCCACTCACACCAAATATTAAATCCTTATCAGTATAACAGATTTTCTGAACTATGTTTGCAGTCAAGCCCATAGCGAATAAGGACCAATAATCCGCTCAAAATTTTACTTCTTATTGAAGATATAAAATGGCAAATTAAGGATATCTGCAGCCATTGTTAGCTAGGCAAATGAAAAATCAGTCTGGAGGTTGGTGAGGCTTTCACTGATTTTAACGTCAGATTCACTAAGAGTTGACATCATTTGGACTATGAGTGAAATCATGTCACAGCTAGACATCTATTTCTCCCAATTATGACTCGTCAGGAGTGTACATACATGATGCTACCAGACATCTTGAACGGAAAGAAGTAAGAAAATGTAGACTAATGAATTCCAACCCAGTGGGTCAGTGTCAGTGTGTTCACCAAAAAAACCTGATGACCCTGATTTCGATCCCTCGCGAGGTCATGGATGCATACTGCTGGGAGCAGCTGTTTAGTACCCTCAGTTCTTCAGTGACTGATGTTAGCCCATGATGATTAAAACTTTGAAACTGAAGGTCAATTCCTAATCAGTTACTGAGAGCAGTCAGATCAGAACAGGAAATATTCAATATACTTTAAATTATATCTACTGTTCATTCTAATCTTAAGGTTTTTAATGATTGCATAGTCTCCTTATGAAACATTAGGAAAACGAGTGTTTCATCAACGCTACAAAGTGTGGGCAGTGATACGTCTATATTTTCAAACCCTCAGTTAGTAATAAAAGGAGGCTATAGATGATTATCAGTTTTTAGCACGACTCAATATGAAAAAATCTCAATGGAACAAACCGCTTTTACAGTGATTTTAATTTACTAGCGTCAATAATTTATTAGCAGCATATCCAATAGCAGTTGTTAAGTTCAAATCTTCAACCCCTATTAGAAAGTATACTTTTTACGATTTCAAATGAAAACAGAACATATTTATATAAAAAGAAATTAAATTTCGAATAAACAGATTGTCTATGATAATTCTCAAAATGATAAATGAAAAGATTACATGCATACATGATTACATAAATAAGTGAATAGATGAAATAAAAAAAGAAATAGAGAAATTGATCGAAGTGTGTACGGAAAATCAAAACGAAATTCAGAGAACTACTTCTATGCTTTATAATTAGTATAAATGTACTTTTTTCGAAAAAAAAAGTATATAATATAATCCAGTGTGTTCTTCATTGCACAATTAAATTACAAAATATAAGAAAAGAAGAAACTAGATTTTTGAGTGAGTATGTCTTCACATAAACAAATAAACCCGATAGGTAATGGTCTATTCAAACAAAATATATATTATATTATAGGTGTAATAGGTGAGGGTGATTATGATTCTTGTTTATTTACAAATGAGATAAGGAGCTTGCCTTTCAGTCAACATTAAAATATCCTAATAATACATGGCACAGTATAACACAACACTAGAGAAGTAGACAAGGGGGAGGAGAATACGAAAAAGAAAAGTAATAGAAAAAAAATCGATTAAAACCTAGTGGACTTTTCATCAAAAGGAACCTAAGTGTGACAGAACAACGATGTCTAGGATTATTGGAAGAAAACCAGTTTTTATACACTAAACATTATTTATTGGTATTTGTTGGGGATTTCGCTTGAAATCCAGGACTAATTTGGCTGACATGCCCTTTTTAATCTGATCTTTGGACTAAACAATAAAGAGATTTGGCGCAAACGAGGTTGAAAATGATTGACTATATAGTTCAACAGGATTCAGGAAATTTAATAAGGCTGTACGCCATTTGTATAATCTATTATGCTGGACAATTTATCCCTATCTAATGGACAATTATGATAGGCAGTAGCTGGAGCACCAGCAGGATCAATTAAATCATTGCCATTGGTTGAGCCGAACAGACATTGCACCGCTGAAAAATATCCTTGAGATGTTGAAGAGGATGGAGAAGAAGAAGAGGAGGAGGCTGAGAGACGACGAGAATGATTATTACAAATAAGAAGTCTATTTAAGATATAATAGCTTATATACGCTATGAAGAGGAAACCACCAGCTAAGACAATGAATAAATTATGATTATTAAATGGGAAAATTCGGTGTAATAGTTTACTGACAAATGAATAAATGGAAAATTGCTTTTTCTCCATTGCGTTTGATGGAGAAATCAGATGCTCTTTTTCAGCTTCCTCATTCCATAAATGCTAAAATGAAGAAAAATATAATTTGAAGTACCGAAACTGCAACATTCCATATTCAAACCGAAGATCAAAACAAATAAAATATTATAAAAAATACCATATGTTGGCTAATATAAATTTAAACCACTAATACAGGTGTAAAACTTGTACACAGAACAAGACACTCATGTATTCCGACCATATTACCTACTCCACCAAATTTCACATATAACCTACATAGTAATCCACCTTATAATTCAAAGGTTTCTACATTGTCATAAACAAGGTAAACGGATATAACGAATAGCTTGAAGAAATCATCTCTAATCTGATTGGTTTTCCTCAAGGTTTCTCGTCACTGAAGTTCACTTCTACCACTATAGCTTATGCTTTGATAGTAAGCACTCAGTTAAGATCGGAAGTTGTAGTTTCTCTGGTTCAGTATTGTGAAATGTACTCAATGGTTAAGCATAATCTCCTACTAAATGATAACTTTTTCGATCACATATAGATCATAATGATGTATTCACTAAGCTGCTATTCTCTTCCTGGCTTTTGATGTAAAGCTAAGTTGTTCGTGACATTTAAATGTATTCTGATGTAGTGGGGCAATTTATAGCACCCAGTGACTGATATAGTATTATTTACTTGGTGACTATTCAAGCATAAGTTATTATTGCTCGTAATCATATCAATGTGATCACACAACTTTCGACATTTGATTTTTATAGTTACGTCACCTCATATAATTTGTTTTTATTGGTGGTAAATCTTCACATCTCCGGTATAGGTGTTGCTTCATTTCTACTACATGTGTTGGGTGCTGATTCGAAGGACGAAGATTCAGTAATCATCTCTCTCTCTCTCTTCACCTATTTATATTGGACTTGAGTACAGTGGTTTTATCCCATCCATCCTATTGTGTGGTGGTGTGTTACTCCATGCAATGCAATAGCCAGGTTTCTTTTCCGTATTATTGATACTATTCGGGTCTGTCATTCTACATTTAGCTAAATTCCTATGTTCGGCTGTTCTAACTGACCTTGACCGGCTAGTTTGACCTATGTACTTGACCCCATAGTAATTTCATGGAATTTATACTAAAATACCAATCAATATGGCAGTGGAGGCAGTCAGAAGCCAACTAAATATTGACTCAGAACTGATTGAGAGAACTAGGATATCAGTTGATGAGATCATACTAGGCATAGAGTTGTGCCCGACCTCCACAGTCTTCAAGTTTCAAAATAAAGTATACAGACGAACAGAAGGAGTGGCAGTGGGATCGCCAATATCCCCAATCGTAGCAGATATATTTGTAGTTAGTTGGGAAAACATGACTTAACAAACGTCGAGTTTTGCACTAAAATATGGTGGCGATATGTGGATGACACATTCACTGTGTCGAAATCGCCACATATTGACAATTTCCGCACACATATAAACTCAATAGTAGGCGGAATCCAATTCACTTATGAGGTAGAAAACGAACAAGGAGAATTACCTATGTTGGATTGCAAGTTAAAACGAAGGACAGATGGTGGTTTAAAGACTGCCGTCTGCAGAAAACGGACACATTCCAACAGGCATCTAGACTTCAACTCATCCCGTCCAACGTCAGTTAAGGCAGGCTTGGTCAAATGTCTAAGTGACAGACCTAGAAAACTGACTAGTCAGTGCAAGGACCTAAACAAGGAATTGCAACACGTAAAAGAAGCACTAATAGTCGACAATTATCCTCCACAGTTTGTCAAGAAATTCGGACGAAGACACAAAAAAAGAAAAAATAACAGTACACTAGTACGAATAATAATGAAAGGAGTTCACAGTCTCCATTATGTTACCCTACAAGGAAGGCATATCAGAAATTTACGTAGGATCCTCAACGAAGCTGGTATTAGGGTGGCATTTAAACCTACAAACTCACTCAGAGATAAGCTTTGTCAGCTTAAAGATCCCATAGAACCAACTGAACAAAATGATTATGAGCAATAATAACTTATGCTTGAATAGTCACCAAGTAAATAATACTATATCAGTCACTGGGTGCTATAAATTGCCCCACTACATCAGAATACATTTAAATGTCACGAACAACTTAGCTTTACATCAAAAGCCAGGAAGAGAATAGCAGCTTAGTGAATACATCATTATGATCTATATGTGATCGAAAAAGTTATCATTTAGTAGGAGATTATGCTTAACCATTGAGTACATTTCACAATACTGAACCAGAGAAACTACAACTTCCGATCTTAACTGAGTGCTTACTATCAAAGCATAAGCTATAGTGGTAGAAGTGAACTTCAGTGACGGGAAACCTTGAGGAAAGCCAATCAGATTAGAGATGATTTCTTCAAGTTATTCGTTCTATCCGTTTACCTTGTTTATGACAATGTAAAACCTTTGAATTATAAGGTGGATTACTATGTAGGTTATATGTGAAATTTGGTGGAGTAGGTAATATGATCAGAATACATGAGTGTCTTTTTCGAAATCTTAAATATAACCTAGAAGGGTAACTTATACAGAACTGGATAAGTTATGAGTTACTGATTGTGAATGAATACATGCATATGCGACTTTAAATAATATGGTATATTTAATAGGGATAAAATAGAGTTAATGAAACAAGAAAAGGGAATAAACTAATAACTTCATCATAAAAGCACTAATAATAATTACCTCATCTCCATGAATTTCACTGGTTTCCATTTCCACATCGTCGATACTTTCTTCAGTAGTATTTATCTTATCCTCAGTTTTCATTTCCTCTAAATTTACGTTATTATCATTACTATCATTTTCTTTATCATCTGGAGTAGTAGACTGATTTGAACGATGAGACTCAAACAATCGAATCAGTCTCTGAAGGCTATAAGAAGTAAAAACCAATAGCAACAACAGAATTGATGAATAACATCAAATATAATTTGTATACTATCCGTTTTAATCATTCATTATTCAAAGTTTTGCTGCCAAAAAAGAAAATTGTCATCAAAGTTTTCAGATGAATTAATAAGGTAAGCGACAATACTGATAGTTGAAACCATCCGTATTGATATCTAAACTAGGGTGTTTAATAATCTTGTTTTATAACAAAGAATGGTATCCACTATAATCCTAGAACTTCCTAATTTAATTTGAAAAGCTCAACCAGAATAGTTGAGAACAATTCATAAAGCTTACAAAAATGACTAGCCTAAAGGTAGGCCTTACACCTTTTTATTGATAGACTCTAGCTTTGACTCTTAACTAGATCACTCGAGAAGAGTAGTAACAATGAAAAGAAATTGTTGATAAGTCAAACTAAATTAAATTCTGATCGGATTGGAGAATATCAGTAACTACAATCCCATCTGATAGTTTACTTCTGAGTTAGTCTTGAGTAAATATCATGTGTAAATTTACAGACAGACTAACTAACTGGCAGCTTTTCCATGCTAATCGCCTTGGTAACAGCAAAACCATTATCTACTAGGAATTATCATCTCTTTCTTTTTCTTTTCCATCTTTTTATCTCTACCTCCCTATCAATGGATACAGCTATACTGTAGATAGTTTTTTTCAGTCAATATTTATACTACTTCAATAAATCACTGAGATTAGAACTTTCAGAAATATGTTCCAATGAAACTTATAATTTGGATGAAGATATCAAGGTTCACTATGCTGCTATTTTCCTTTGAACAAATCAAAACAGAGTGCTAAAATTTCTCAGAATGAATAACTTCATTATTTCATCCAGATTCTTAATTTGAATTCAATTGCAGAAAACATGTGATCAATTCCCAAACAAAAGTAAATAAACAAACAAACAGACAAACGGAAAGAAAAAACAATACACAACAAAAATTAAACAGTGTTTGAGTATTATACTACATGCTAATCTTAGACATGAATAACAAAGTATGTATACTGTAACAAGATGTTTCTATCCTGCCGTGTATACACGCTATCGTTAAACAAAACGGAAAATAAATTCAAATAGGAAAAAAATGAACAATGCTGAATATTGGAAAAGCAGTCAAAAGTATACTGACATTTAAATAAAAAATGAAGTATACATCTAGCTGGTTGTTTGTTCAAATTACTGGCTGTCTTTCTTTGCTAACAGGCATAGATAAATAGTGATCAGAAGTCATTATTGTAATCAACACGGTAATTGAGTTGTTAGCTAGATATTCTGTCAGTTTTATTCGTCAAAAACAAAATATTCAGAGAAGAAGACTCTTTTCAACGAATTATTCTCAAGCTCAACATTCAGATATATATATATATATATATATATATATATATATATATATATATATTGCCTACTATCACCGATGATTTTCCTGATTGTGGTTGACTGAATCATGCAACAGGCAACTGTGAGGAGCGAGAAGATGGGCATACGCTGTCTGGATCAACGAAAATATCCCAGATTTAGGTTTCACCAATGATTTATGTCTAATGTCGCATAAACTCTAAGATCTATAGACGAAAACTAACAAGTTGGTAGAAGAGGCAGGGCGGCAAAGACGGGACTTCAGATGAATGTACAGAAGACAAAGGTTATGAAGATACCCAACGACCAACAACAACAAGCATCAATCACCCTCAACGGGAGAAACCTAAAGAAAGTAGTCTCTTCCACCTACCTAGGCAAGGCAGCATCGTTTCAACTACACGTGGTGGCACAGATCAGCACGTCAAAGCCACGATCGGAAAGACAGCAAGACAGGTCTTCATCAATCTGAAATAATTAGTGTTGATATCTACTGCACTGCACTGCACTGTACTCAACATAAAGAACAAGATCCGGATTTTCAACACTAATGTCAAGTCAGTAAGTGCTCCTATGTGGTTCAGGAACTTGGAGCGTTATGAAAAGCATTTCCAACAAACTACAGACATACACTACATCGACAGCTGCCGCCTACACTCGCTCAATAGTGAAGATCAGATGGCCAGAAAAAATAAGCAACAAGAAACCTTGGCCTACAACAAACCAAGCATGAACCTATCATCCAACAAGTGTACAGAAGCAAGTGAAGACGGATTGGTTTGGCGATACACTCAGAAGACCGTTTGGCAACATAACGCGCCAGGTCAGACCATCGAGTGGAACCCAAATGGGAAACGGCGAGTTGGGCGTCCGAGGCGAGGCCGACATGAAGGAGATGGTATGCGGAAGAAATGAAAGCTTGTGGGCAGTCACGGAGTCAGGTTTAAAAGACTGCAGAGAACAGAGTAGAATTGGGACGGGCTACTGAAGCCATATGCTGCACTAGGAACCCAAAGGGCAAATTATATATGTATGTATATAATCCGTGAGGAAGATTTAACTTAAATAATGGGAGGTTGAACTAACAATTATGGTGGTTATAATAATATTGCTAGTTGATGACATAAAGGTTGAATGATAACAAAAAGGGTTACCTAAGATTTTTAAATTATTTATAAGGTGTATATAGAGTAAAAAGAAGTATAAACATGGTAGAGTTAACAAGCAACCAATGGATTAAGTGATATGAATGATATATATATACCTAATTTAAGGAAATAGTTTTAAATTTCCTGACAATTAGAGATGATGGATCAAGTCAACATGATAATTCACTGATCTATTTTGATTAAACAATAAAAGAAGTGTACACCTATCTCTAGATAGAACGTCAGTTTAAGAAATATTTCGACTGATGTTTATTTGTACAGAAGACTTTGGAAAACATTTTAACAGTATAAACGTACCAGTAGTTACCTGAATAAGCAAACATTATATTTCAGTTAGATATTAGAATAAGTAGGTTAAATGAAGGGTAAAGTTGAAATGATAGAAAACATTTTTTAGCTCAGTATGAGGATGATACTGGTCTGGTGTTCTCTGACCTTTGATATTTTGTCAGAAACGTTGAATCATCAGGCTTAGTAACATCTTCAGCACTAACTTCATAAAGAAATAACAAACAGTTGAAGAGAATAAACCAAGTTATTAATTTAAACATTGTGTAGCAATTTGGTATGTTTTCAACAGCCTTCATTGTCATATTTTCAGCTAGTCATCTATGTTTTACACTTATATCACTTATTAGAATCATGTAGTATCTTGATATTCTTGTCTCAGGGGTTAAGAACGAGCAGTCTTGAATGGGTAGCTTTTCAAGGAAACATTATTGATGTTATATAGGTGCAAATTGGTCTGAAGAAAACCACCTTTACAAAGTATTCACAGCGAATCAGTATGCAACCAGCTTCATAAAGAAGTGCCGATCAAAAATTCAAACATCATTATGACTACCACAATCTACAAAAAAAATCATTTTGCCACTTATCAAAGATTTCTCAAACACCATAAACAGATTACTTTACCCGTCCACTAACTGCGTGACACACAAACCAACCAAACCCTTTCAGAACATCTCATCCAAGCTAAAGGACGCATTAGGCAAAGAGGACAAGAGGAATACAGTCTAATAAATTAGTTGCAAAAACTGTGAACATGAGTGCGTTAGTAGGATTAGCTGTCCGATAGCCCAAAGAATTTATGAGCACTAACTAGAAGTGAAACGCCATAATATACCATCATTCATATCTCTACGCATAGATCAGTGCATTTACAACCTTAATTAGAACAAAGTGGAAATACTTCAACAAATAAGCTGAGAAACTGTAATAGAATTCCTAGATGCATGGTATTCCAGCCTAATGGCGATCAGTTAATACTTGGACTCTGATACAATATATGAATTATTAAGATGGTATCAGCCACCTAGAAATCAGTCAAACAAAGTAACAGTCAGACGTTGAGTCAAAAACGTAGGTCAACCACCGATTGAAACAATAAATTCCACTCCCACTCAATTACTAGTGGTGCTTAATATCATCCAATACCCATGATAAACATCCAGGTAACTTAAAAATGTTTCATTTTTTAACGAAATAAAAGCTGACGAGGTTGTCTAACCTGATAATGAAACGTCTAAGAAAATAGCTTGAACCTGAGGAAATACGAAACAAATATGTTAGTTCAAATCTAAAAACTTGATATTCTCCTTTTTATATGGTACATATGGTACTAGCCGAAATCAGAGTCAAATTTTATGGGACCAATAATAATAGTAGTATGAACAGGAATGAGACGAAATGAATTTATTCATAAAAAGTGAGAGCCAGTTGGCAGAATGAAATTTTATGCCAAACAATAAGTCATTTCATCTTTAAGTTAATTAAAACTAACCCCTCATTTTATACCGCCAAGACGATACTACACTAAAGTTGTACAAGATGGAAGTTAGTTGTTCTCAGTGTTATTTATCCTTAAAAGAAAAAGTGACTTATGCAAGGCACCAAAAGTAGCTGGTACATTAATAATGTCACGGTCAGTTTATATTGAGAAAGGTGGTAACTAGGTATTAATATCTGACTATATGCAGTTGGATATCAGCATTCTTCCCCCTGAGAAGCAAAACTAATTCAGTCCATTAAGTTTCTGAACTATGCCCTATGGATTCCACAAGCGAGTTTAATCAAAACAGATGGCTATAAATGATAGAATATAATGAAAGCTTAACCAGAAAATATGGTTAGGAGATGAGCTAATCATCTGTTAAGTTTGTTGATGATTGACAAAATCAACATAGAACCTCGCACAAAAGTCCATTGGGTCAAGATGCAACACTTCATAGTAGTATAGAAAAAGATTGATATGAAAGAAGATAAAGCGGTGTGAGAGAATAAACAATCTGAAGATAACAGTTAGTGTGAGTATTAAAACTTTAGATATCAACGAGTGAATACACTTATGCCATTGTGACCGATTTCCGGCCGGGTCACCAAGACTCCTCAACCACTGATTCCTATCGTCTCGGGCACTCCAGCCACGAAATCCAAATCTCCCCACACTGCTCAAACCAACAGTCAGAGACTTCATCGACTGTTGCTAGGTCTTGGTCCGGCCACACTGAGAGTCCTTCCAACCTAATCCAACTTCCTCCAACACTGTACGTTGAGGTAGGTGGTGGCTTCGCATACACAGTACATGTCCAAGCCATTTCAGTTAACTAAGGTTCACAACCTCATCAATCGACTTGCCTGTCTTGCCCAGTACCCATTGTCTGGCCTCAACATTGCTCAAACAGGGATCCCACCAAACGCGAGCAATACTACGAAGACACCTTTGATCAAAACCTTGTTCACGTCTTCTACTTCTAATGATCACGTCTCACAGGCGTACAATAGGACTGCAAGGACTGCAAGGCAGTATACTCGTTTTTTGATAGGCATTCAGATATCTCACCAGTGGACACCGCAAATGACGCAAGTTGGCAAATGCCAAACGAGTCTTCTGTATCCGAGCTGAGATTTCATCATCAACCAGCCTGTTCAGGCAGACGTAACTTCCCAAGTAAGTGAAGTTATTGATGGAATTTTTCGCTGCAATAATATTATTCTTTTAATTTTATTAAAATGTTATCCATTCTATCTGTTTTAATTATCTCAAAAGCGAGTAGCTCAATAATAATATGAAGCGTATTATGATAGGTTATAAACTACAACTGACTTTCTCTCACACAGAAGTGTGTTAAGTCGAATTCTATTCTTGACCAAACAACACAAAGTGTAACGGTCCAAACTGCAAATAAATTTTCTCCAACGAAAAAAAGATAAAGGAGAGGGGTTGTGAGTGTATAAGTATAGAATAAACTGAGAAAGTAAAAATACTTACATGGACCGATTAACAGCCAACTGGTTTGAAAGTCGATCAATTTCTTGAAGTAGTCGATTATCCAAACTTATTGGATTTGAAATAGTAATGTTTGAATCATTATTATTATTATCCATTGATGTTTGACCATTCTCATTCAATTCATTTTGTATTTCATCCAATGCATAATTCAAACTATCCAGTTCTGAAAAACATCTCTAAAAGAGGAAAAATATTTTTGTTTTTGTCAAATAGTATAAAGAGAACAACTCATCATGTATGTGTGTGGATAAAAAAGCATGAAGACAGTGAGTAAAGTACATATTCAATCTTTCTTTATATTGTTGGTTTTACTTTAATGTGATTTATCTTTGTGAAATATACATGTGCTAGATTTTAAAGCCTAATTGATGTTTACTGTATTGCGTAGACAACATACAGACTGAAGTGAATTAGTAAGGAATATTAGTTAGACTATGTGATTACATTCAAGCATTTTATTATTATTATTATTATTATTATTATTATTATTATTATTATTATTTGTCCCTTGGGTTCCTAGTCGAACATAGGGTTTCAGTAGAACGTCTTCATTTCACTCTCTTCTCTGCAGTCTTTCCAACCTGGCTCCACGACTACCCACAAGCTTTCATTTCTTCCTCACACCATCTCCTCTATGTTACCCTCGCCTCGGACGCCCAACTCACCGTTTCCCATCTGGGTTCCACTCGTGCGACTGGCCTGCCGCGTGATGCCCCCAAATGGTCTTCTGAGTGTATCGCCAATCCAATCCATCTCCATTCTTGGTTGGTTAGTTGGCAGGTCAGAGTTCTTTATTGCTTATTCTTCAGTATCGAGCCAGCGTAGGCGGCAGCTGTCGATGTAGTGTATGTCTGTAGTTTGTTGGAAATGCTTTTCATAACCAGCCAAGTTTCTGAACCATATAGGAGCACTTACTGACTTGACATTAGTGTTAAAAATCCGGATCTTGTTCTTTATGTTGAGTACAGTGCAGTGCAGTGCAGTAGATATCAACACTAATTATTTCAGATTGATGAAGACCTGTCTTGCTATCTTTCCGATCGTGGCTTTGACGTGCTGATCTGTGCCACCACGTGTAGTTGAAACGATGCTGCCTTGCCTAGGTAGGTGAAAGAGGCTACTTTCTCGCCTGGTTAAGCATACTGTTGTAAATTTCATTTTTGTAAAGTTGAACTGATTTACACTGTAAATGTATAATGACAGACATGGAGGAAATGACACCGGAAATTCACCAACTTATTTCTGTAATTAATGCTGTCGACAAATATCAACACCTACTCAAGGATGTTGACCACTTTTGAAATGCATTTAGTCATCTTGCCAATCACATGATCAGTTGCAAATATTTCATTTTTAATATTAGCATTTAGCATATTAGTTACACCGTTGCAATCCCAGGCGACTTTCATTCCTTGTATTACTCAGAATTGGGATGACTTCTCACTGCTATAGTATTGTTGGATATACCACTGAAGGAAATAACTGGCTTTAGGTGTGAGCTATAGAAGAGAAGATAGGATTTTTGGTAAGAATCGACAATAAGCCAAAATAGATTGGATATTTTGGGGTCTAGCTGGAGTAAGAAAACATATTCACTATCAGTGAGTAAGTTTTAAGCATCTCATTAATCGATAACATTGAATTTTGTAATATTATCGAGGTTCTTCGATTTCTCTTTCGGCTATCACCACTACCACTGGCATCATTTCAATTTCTTTAATTCTTATCTCAATAAACCGTTTGTATTTCCTGAATATTTTCATAAATCTTCACCTATATATCCCCTTTCTTGTTATTAGCTTTTACTTCTTCTATGTTATTTATTTTAACCTTTTATTTATATACTGCCCTGAAGTGTCGCGACTTGAAGCAATCCATTTATGTTCTAGCTTATCTATTGATCTGTTTGTCTATCTATTAAAATGAATCAGTAGGAAACTATACCAGGTCTTGTGTTGTTCTACACACATAACTAGCTGGAAATAAAAGTGCAAAGCTATTAACAAATTGCATCAATAGGATAACAGTGGAAATTAAAGTGATACTGTCTATTTGAATTGTATACATCATTAGTATGACAAAGAAGATAATTTTAAATAGGTAATCTAACTGCAGAGAATTTTATAGTAGATAAAGCATTAAATAACCATCAGGTCAGTTCAAACAAGCAGTAGTTCTATTCTGCTTGTAGTGGAATCAACTTATGAACAATTCAGAGGTTGCTTATGAAAAGCTAAGTAAAGGGAATAAAAATACTCAGATAAGGATGAGTATTTCCAAAGATACCATTCTCAAGCCGTATAACCACATATAAATGTGACATGACAACAGTAAAAAAGGAATGTTTGAGAGAATATTTTAACCAAAAATCAGGCAATAGGACAAAGAAGAGGGTAATATAAAAAGATGATGATCAGGAAAAGATTTGTCAGAATGGAACCGGTATTAAGCCTCCAAGTTCAGTGATGCTATCTACCTAGAGGAATCAATGAATCCAGTTTAAAAGAATCAGGATTCAGAAGTGTGAAATCAGAAGGATGTGATATAAACGAAGATTAATTGTTCAGAAACATTTTTATTCATTTCAAATCAGATGACTGGACAAACTTCTGATAGCTGAGAACGTAAATTGCAATGATTCAATTAAGAGGTTTGTGACGATTGATTGATTAATTTCAGGTTGGTTTTCATCACAAACTGGATATTAATATGAGAAACATTGAAAACCTGGGAGAATGGAACAGCTGTTTTGCCCTAGTATGCAACTCTTCAACTAAGGACACCTATGACCCCCTCAAGATTCGAACAAAGGACTTCAAGTTCCGCAGCCAGCACGTTACCATTAAGCCACTGGGTAGAAATCCAATGGTTTGCATTAATCGCTTGCTTCGAGAGATGATTCCCGAAGTTCCAATGAGAAGTCACAACCGGCCAACTAATTCAGACGTGAGGACGATTACTCAACAACGGCACTGGATAGAGACCACTCTATAAGATGTGGCACTGACAGAAGTAGGAGATGTAAACCACTGGATTCTGACCCAGTGGGTCAATGAAAACGTTCTGCTGGCGGAACCTGAAGTCCTCAGTTTGATCCGTAGTGGGGTCATAAGTGTGATCTGTCGAGCAGTTCCATAATAGGGTGAGAATGCTGTCCATTGTACCCAGTTTTCTAACGGTTCTTCAACTGATCTCAGTGTGTGATGAATACCAACCCGAAATCAGTAAATAGTTTCTTCACTTTGAAAAGGTTTAAGCGTGCATATATCGTGAGGTTTTCTTTTGGATTCACTTTGTTATCTGAGTATCTGAGAATCATATTACAAAGGACTCAATCCTGAATGACATGCTGACATGCTGTAATCAGGGTTTACTTAATTAAACCTGTCAATAATTTATTTACTCGAAGATAAGTAAATGCAAACATTTTTTTGTAGAATTATTTGTTAATAAGTGGAATTTCGTACTGTTAAATTGGATTGAGTTGATATTAGAAGTGGCTGTTGTGCCTCCGTGACTTAGGGGATAAAGCTTTGAGATTTGAAACGATGGTTTCAAGGTTCTGGTCTCACTGACATGAAGGTAAATCTGACTAACGAGTCCCAAATATAATGAAAAGCGCATCTTAATACTTCACTCCTAATCTCCAATTAAATTATTTTTCATATACTGACTGCTTGTTTTGATATCACAGATAAGAAATAACATTAGGATATTATTGATCAGGGCAGATACTTACTGTCCAGTGTACATTTTCTCTAATATATTAAAATAATAGCTACTCCTAGTAGAAGTTATTATTATTATAATTATTAAAGTGATTTTTTATATATTCACGTCATACTTGTCAGCTAGATACAAATAAATCTCAGTGAAAGTAGATATTTTTCTAATAGAAAGAAATTATCACCTCGATAAAAGGAGTTTCATCGACTACCGTACACTAACTGTTAGATACAAATATATAGAAGAATTTACGAAGGTAATTCATTCAACAGTATAGATCAGTCAGCTGGAAGTTTATGCGTATCTGGATCATGTATCATCTAAAACCTGATTGTAATGATAATGTTACTGGTGTAATTATGTCACCTGATCCTATATCTATGTTCCTATGAACCTCCTTAAAAGGTTAAGCAGACATTCAGTATGTATGGTATACAATTGATACAATGATGAACTTAGAAAGGTTTAATGACTAATTAAGTTTGTTTTATATACTATAATAAAATATTTAATACAATTGTAAATGGTCAATTTCAATAGATATTTAGAGATTGCAGTAGTGTATAAATCAATCAATTTTATACAAACAAGGCATATGAACTTTAGTACTGAGTTAAACTGTTATTTAATGTTCAATCAGTGTTTTTTTTAAAAATTATTTATTCACTTAATATCATATTAGCAACAAAAATAGAATACATTTTCTTATTTTTAATATTCAAATCAGTAAGATAATCAACAAGTTCAAACGTATCTTTCAGTGAATACTTACATAAATCATTACAAATCGGACTCAGTAATTCGGCTAACCACCTCGCTAATTTGTGTGTTAACTCTCTGTTTACAAATGTGCCTTTAACGAAGACAATTAATATTCTTTGTGACCATATATCTTCGAATTATCCTTCTTTCCCTATTCCTTCAACTTATTTGAAAGAACTGCTTTTATTATGTACTGATAAGGTTCATTTCACTTTCGAAGGTGAACACTTTCGGCAAATTGATGGTGTACCCATGGGAAGTCCATTAGGACCGTTATTAGCTGACGTATATATGTCACATACTGAACTAATGGCCCAAGATCTAATCACCAATGTCACACTCTATAGAAGGCATGTGGATGATATCTTTGTAATATGTGACACAGATGAGGATGCCAAGAGGTTATTAAAAAGGCTTAATACCGTACAAGATCATATCAGTCTGACATGGAGAAAAATAATAGAGTATATTTGAAATAATATGAATTTTTGTATATGAAATGACTGTGAAGTGGTTATTTAGTGATGTGGTAAGAAGGAAAAAAAGTCATGGAAAATTTAATATTTAGGAAATTTGATCTGGGTATGTAGATGGTACGTTTAAAAGCTACCGAAGGAACAAGCGAAATGACCAATTTAACTTCCCCGTTGGGGACAGAAAGGCAAATTTTCATAAAATAGAGAAGTCTGATTGGTTATTTCAGTTGTTGCTAAATTGACCTTTAAAATCACTCTTTGTAGAATAGCAGACAGATTCAAAGTGGCGCAAACGAAGACAGAGAGGGGAAGAGAGGGTTTGACAAGAAATAAAGTGTCACTGGAGTGTATTAATGTATCTTGCCACTGGTCACTACGACAGATAATAATAATAATAATAATAATAATAATAATAATAATAATAATAATCAATATCATCAGGAATGAAATGATAATAGTAATAACAATAATACGATTATCAATCATAGGTTGGAACCGAAACCCTGAATCGACTGATACTTAATCATTGATTTCATCGGAGTATTTCATCGCATTGAAGGTTTCGTTAACCAACAACGAAGACGTAGAAATTTGGATCCATATTGCCAAAGTGAGAAGTCCGTTCAGTCACTGAGCATCTTGTGAACTATTCCTCAGTAAGCTCTATCAGTTTCGATCAATGCAGGAATAAATGCATAACGTTTCATGATTTTCAAAAATTCTTCAAATGATGTCACTTTTTCATGAAAATTATCTTCGAAAGCTTCAGAAACATACAAACTTATTCTTCTGGCATGTACATGCTTAGATTGGTTGAAAATAATACTTTTGTAGATCTCCTATGAAATATATGATCTAAAATAACTTTAAAATGTATTGTTCTTATGATCTCAAGGTTTTAATTACATTTAACTAGGAAAATGTGTTTTTTTTCGAATAAATTAGACCATTTTGTTGAATAGAAGTAAGAGTACACTAATAATTGATGTAGAAATGTTCATCATAAGATAGATAACGGTTTATTACCTGTCCTATAGCGTAATGTTTTATGAATGAATATTCAGTGAAAACTGGAAAAAGAGAGCCTCCGTTAGTGTTGCTGAAATTTACAACAGCTCTCTGCAAGAAATAAAGTAAAAAACACCCCAGAGAATAAATAAAATTACAATTTTGGAGTGAACAAGCAACAAATATATCTGCTTGTGAGCTGATTCATTAACAGTTTCGTATCAACTTGATGACATCAGAAAAGAAGTCTGCATACTCCTAAACATCTCATAATAACATATGATGACTCCATGAAATGCTATTAAATGAAAATTGCATCAATCTCAATAATTTTTATACAGCCTCAATCACATGAGGATATGAAACAGTTTGGCATGTACAACATAGGTTTTAACTAACTCAATCGGTTTTAGATTTCATATCAGCTTCACCAATTTCTTCTCCTTTTTAAGTTGTACTTATTCTTGATGACTTTACTACACGCCAGGATAACAATGTGGACGTATCATTAGGTTTATCATGCCTAAAACTTTAGAACGTCTTCTTTTAATGCAATTAAGTCGAAGGCAACGAACTGAATGTGAGTGATTTATTATATGTAATAAAACCGTCTGATACTGCACAAATTTTACATAATATTTTCTGAAATGTTTAGTGCATCTACTGAAAATAAAAAGTTATAATATCACAAATGTTTAACTTACTCTGAAACCGTAGCTTATTTTATCCATTTGACTTTCATCGAAAAGGCCAGGATTATAATCATCAAAATTACTGATACTACTAATGTTATCTTCATCATTCACCTCTTTATTCATATACATTGAAAGGCCAATTTGACGTGTAAGCCGACTTAAATCATGCATACGTGTTTGAAGCATGCATAACTGTTTTTCCCATGTTTCATACTGATTCGATTGATGATGTATCTGGTGTAGTTTTGATAAGAATTTTGTCCATTGAGACTTTAATTTCAATGCATTTGAAATAACTAAATGATCTGGTGAATGGTGGTAATTGTTAGCATTGTTACACTGATTATTATTATTATTATCATTATTATTGTTATCGGCATTACTATTACTATTTTCATTCTTGTTCAGTGTTATATCTTGAATGAAGGAATGAGGATAGTCGTCTAATATAGAGTTGAAAAGATAATAATTATAAAATGATAGCGTAGTACTGGAGTAATAGAATAAAAAATTTTCACATGAATTAATGTAATGTAATTTTCAGTTGTTCATACCATTGAAATAATTGGCTCATTATTTGTTAGCGTTTGGGATCTTCAATTGAACCCATAGATACAGCCTACAATTTAACTCCGATAATATTTTTATCAGTGGTGCCCAGTAGTGGAATTTATCTTGTATATTTTATCTTATTTAGAACTCATTCACCAAATATGCCTACATCTCAATAAGTGGTGGTGTTTTCAATCTAAAAAATAAATACCTAATCAATTTACCTGTCCAAGAACTAAATATGTCAAAAGAGACTCAATAATTCAGTCCTGGAAACGGCAAGTATAAAAAATAGCAAATAATGACCGCTGTATACCCCTGTGTTTAAAGTAATGAATAGTAGACTCAAATCACTAGGGGATAAACAGTGAACAGATCCAGATATGTCCATCATGAAAGGACCTATAGACATGAAAATCAAGTGGCATCGAAACACAATAGAGTCTTCCTCATTTTTAACGTACAGAAAGTAGTTTGTATGTCAAACACTGTCGTTAATAAACCACATAGTGACAATAATGACGTATATATACCTTGTCGATTATGAAAATAAACAAATCCACATTGAATGGAACACAATGAACACTTAAAATTAACAGCAAAATATAGTTGAAACTTGCATATGCAAGGTTAATGGCTGCATTTGCACGGAATTCAACTTTCAGACGTAGCTGATGATTAACCCCTAAGTTATACTGTAAGAAGAAATACAGCACTTCCTATATAATATTAGAAACAGATATCAATGACTATATATCTTCTTCTAGCTGCCATCATATTCATGTCCTAGCAAATGCCATCCAGTCAAAATAATCTTTATATGATTTAGTGTGGTTGGAATATTTCACAGATGTAAGGCAATAAAAAATAACTGGTCTATCAAACAATTTACACTTGTTAACAAAACACCTACGTTTACTTACATATAATTAAGGTTACAAATAGATACAGTTTTCTTAACTCATAGGCATTTGATAGCCAGATCTTAAAGTTCTATAGTGGAACACAGTTTTAGTGTATCACGACGTTTGAGAGAATGACTGAAGATTTTTTTTGATGTGTTAGGACCGAAAACAACAGTGCATGTGTTCACTTTGTATTATTTTCAAGATTTTCAACATCTCACTAACCATCATTTCATTATTCTTTCTGCTGTTACAGCATTTTCTGTTTATCTAACTGTCATTCGTTTTACACTTCTTCCCCCTTTCGTTATGAAATGTTCCCATGTGTGGAACTGATATACTTTTGTCCACAGTTCTGTTTTAGTCTTTTTGTCTAGTTATCTGATTAACAGGCTAATGTTTGAGATTTCTGGAAAAAAGAAAGCTTATATATCATCATAGTGTATATCAATTGATAGTATGAAGATATTAGTCATAACTACAAGTTTTGCCACTAGTTAAAACTAATTTAAGTTTCATACCTTTTCTAAAACCATATTCATCTGCCTGAATATGAATCGTATTAAGACGTTTCAAAAGGTTAAAGAGAACACGTGAATTAAGTTAATCCACAACTTATATTTCTCAGTAGATGGTTAGATTACATAACTAATAAACTTAAAAGCATACGACATCTCTAATATGACCCGTGATCAAAGCTATGTCATGCACCAAAATATTCAATTTTAAATGTTCGTATAGCCGAACAACACAAGTAACTTAATCCTTGATAAGTCGAAATAATAATGTTTCTAGTGTTTGATGACCTAGAAATTAAGTAACTCATCTTACTTTAATTATCTCGGTCATTTTCATTTGCAAAACTTAGTCATATAGTTAAAGCAATAAAAATAAAGCTATTGAACATTTTTACAATGGATTAAAATAGGTTTTAGGAAAAGAAATAAGTTATTCTTCAGTACATCAACTACTATGGTGTGAGATTTTGATCCAGTGAATTGTTTAAACTTGAGAATGAAGTATACTATATAAATATCTTAAGACATGAAATTCAGTGGACCCTTATAAATTAGCTAAGCAGAAAAAATATATAAAAAAAACATTAACGAATCGGTTCAAAATGTCACTGGTATTCATCATAAATCAATTGAAAAGTGTACTAATGATTTCAGGTACAGGTATTTCAGATCTGTAAAATTAGGTAGTGAAACAAAGCATTTTGATCAGCAGAGAAAAACAAAGATAGAATTTCGATGTGAAAAGAGTGCTAGTGACACGAAACAAATGATCTGATAAATCCATATTCCATCTGGCTTGAATTTTACACAAATACATCCACAGCTGATACCGAAAGACATCAGCATAAAACTAAAAGTTTACATAAATCATTTTCCATTAAGATTATTATAACTTATGTAAAAGTAAGACAGGCATTCATTAGCCTAAAACCAGTGTGGAGATCTACTGCACTCAGCATGTGGAACAACATCCGGATTTTCAACACCATTGTCAGTGCTGCTATATGCTTCAGAGACTTGGCGCGTTAGGAAAAGGATTTCCAACATACTACGGACATTCATCAATAACTGCCTACGCTCGTTACTGAAGCTCAGATGACCAGAAAGAATAAGCAACAAGGAACTTCAACCTAACAACGAACCAACCAAGAACCTATCGCTCAACAAATATGCAGTGGAAGGAAGTGGAGATGGATTGGGCATGCACTGAGAAGACTATTCAAGGACATCACGCGGCAGGCCCTCGAGTGGAACCCAGATGGGAGACGGAGAGTCAGGCGTGCGAGGCGAGGGTGACATGGAGGAGATAGTGTGAGGAAGAAATGAGAGCTTCTGGATGTTGGTGCAGCCAGATTCAAAAGATTGCAGGGGGGAACAGAGTCAGATGGAGACGTGCTAATGAAGCCCTATATTCCACTAGGAACCCAAGGAACAGATAATAAATAATAATAATATTTAGTTTCGAGCATTTTAATAAAAAATTTCAATATAAATCGACTATTGTTATGAGAGTACCGATAGTGGAAAAGTCAGCTACCTGATTTAGCGACTTGACTTTTGCTGACCTTTCTTTCACAAGATGGATGGCATCACAACCCACTTGTTGATGTGCTAAGCTTATCAAAAGGTAAGGCAATTTCAGTTGTCTTTGTAGTGAAGCGTTTGTGTTACGCCTTATAAAAAGCATCTGGTCTGCTAATACAAACTATACTAATCTCCTAACAACAGAATAAGGATTATCATAACATAAATTTTAAAGTAACTCACCTTCTATTTGTTCAGATATATCCGAAGAATCAGCTTTAAGATCTGACAGTAAATTCGAAAGAAGTTTAACATGAGCTTCAGCTGTCTGTAATAAATGAGCTGTACGATGATGCCAATTATCTGAACTGATCCGTTTCACACGATCTTAGGGTAAAAATGTTGAAAACAGAGTTACATCAATTAGATGAGTCTAAAATCTAGCACAGGAGATCAAGTCCATAATCTAACCACTCCTATCTCAGGAGTACAAAAGTTCACTAAAGATTTATGATATACTCAGGTAGAGAATCTTGGTTGCATTGGGTTCACTGAGCCAAGTGGCCTAGTCGGGAAGCTTTCATTGTCTTTTTAGACAACATTAACTTCATATTGAAGTTTTACATTTCTTAAATATTATTGCAAAATAATGCAACCTATGGAACTCAGTCTTGAAGAAGAAAGCACAACTCCAACACACCCACATATTCGACTTCTAAAAAAGGCTAAATTATAAGAATCAACAGGAGAATATAATAAACTGGAGTCTACAAGATGTCAAGTTATGAAGGTATAAAAGAGTTATGGATTAGTTTCAGGATTCCAGTTTTTTAATTTGACTATTCACGACCACTTCTGGCAGAACTTGTTCATTTAAGTGAAGAGTTTGATTGACATATTGTTTGAATAAACAGCTAAACATATTTATAAGCAGAAATCACTTCGAATGAGTCATTGGTTAATTTGTATACTGAAATGATGACATATAATTGTTTTAGCAATCAGTTTAACCCCCTTATTCCTTCAAAAGCCGGAACTCATTTAAAAACCATTAAGAATGAAATCTACTGCTGATAAAAATTAATGCCTTGAAAAAATTATTCCCCTTGATAAACTTAAACAGCGTTATGAGAAAAAGAAGATCATCTGAAACATGTGTATTGTAGTAGCGCTATACACTTCAGATCTTCATTTTTTCATTACGCTATTTAAAATGAATACAGTTTAAAGATGTCATAAAGGCAAGGGGATAAAGAAGTAAAAGGTGTAAACTGAAATGTTTGAATCATAGAACGACAAGTGAATTTGATTATATGGTACCTGAGGATTGAATCTCTCTATATTTCACCTAAACACTAACTGTAATAGGTGGTACTCAAATTCCCTAATTAAGTACAACTAAACGCACCATCTGGGTAAGGTTTATTGTTGTTAGGAAAATTTTAAAAACTGACATCAACATTTTAAATGGATTGAATGGTGTGTAACTGACACAGTTTAGACTCAACTTCATTGTCCCATAGCTATTATACAAAGATTTCAAGATGAAGATTCAAACAGTAGTTAGTCAAATCAAATTGAATTAACACTAAATTAATAGGAAATTAGAATATACATACTTCGTCTGTGTGGTCTCTTATTTCTTCTTATTGAAGTCAGTAAATGCTGTAGATAATTTTCAGCATTCAATAGACGTGTTCCAGAATGCTCCAAAATACCTTTATGAATATCATTAAAATATCGATCATTCAAGTAATTAAGACTAGCGTCTAATGACAAAAAGTCCCTTTTCATTGGTTGCTTTTCTGAATGATGTGAATTAATTTGAGCTTTTCTTTTACGATTTGTAGTACGAGGGACAGTTTGATATTTTCTTTCATATGCATTGAACGATTTACTCTGTTTTGTATAACATGTATAATGTGGAGGGGTTAAATGTTGACTGAGATTACTTACAGATTTCGGTGGATTTGAAAGTTCTTCAGCTTCACACTGTAACAAAATATACAATAAAATATAGTGAGATATAAATTTAGAGATATCTATCTATAAACATGAATAAAGCAGAGATAACAAATGTGGCATAAAATAATAGTGCTTCATCGTTGGCCTACGGATTCGTTTCACAGGCTTACGACCTTCGTAATAACAAAGTGTATAAAATTTTCAAAATCACGTTGAGAAGAAAATATTGACATAAGTATACGATTACATGGGTTTAGAATAGTGCGAACTAGCTAAAGAATAGAAAGTCGTAAGGAATGATCCAAAGACTGACTAAGTATTGGGCAATTCAGTGACTATTCTTGAGAGAGATTAACACATAGGCGGAAACATCGAACTGAAAATTTAGTATGGTGGATTACAATTCGGAGAATTTCACACAGGAGTATTTAGATAGGAAATGGATAGTTTTCAAGTAGAATGAAAAGAAATAGGAAAACAAAATTTTGGTTACACTGTTATTTAGTAAGCTATGCTCGATATCCAGTTTGTGATAATTAGCTGTATCCTTTTGAATACACAAATAAGTTTTAAGTTTAGTTTATGTATTTTCAGATTGCTCGAGTTATATGTATCTGAAGAGAACAAATAAAACAAAAATGAGCTGATTTTATTGGATACTACATGTGTTGAACTTTCACTTGCTCTCTTCATATTTGAGGATAATCGGGAATTGTTACATAAAGTAAAAAAATATACATTGAAACAGGATAAACTTACACTTGAAGAAAAACAATAAATTGTATCTAGTAAGTCATTATTTTTGGTATTTTTAAAGGTAAAATAGAAAACTGAAGATCACTCATGAACAAAGTTATGAAGACCAACGTTAAACTGGTGTCTGAGGAAAACGGACAGGACCAAAGCAGGCAGATATCAGACTCCGGTGGAGAGTGTATCAATCCCATTTTCATCCTTTAGAAAGTTCCGGGAGGCAGGTGAATTTGAGATAAACGACACTTGCCACATTTCTTGATTTAAAGGTGACATTCGACTCTGCTAACCAAGAGGTGTTGTGGCGGTGTCTGATTATGAAAGGATTATAGAGCAAGCATGCAAAACTAATTGAAATACTCTACTCGATATCACGTAGCCATGTAAAGACTAACGGTGATTTTCCATGTAAAATGATGACAACCATTATATCCATTAAGAACACCCACTGTTACAGTTCCTGTTCATCTTCACAGAATTACTAATGGGTATAACCCAAAGATACCTCTTACTTTCAAACATTGATCTACTCCTGGAGAAGCACCTGGTTGACTTAGAACACGAAGATGGCGCAGTCCTCTTAGATAAATATGCTGACAAAATGCAGTCTTTTGACCCCTTATGGCAGAAATATGAGTATGTTTGGTGAGTATTTCGTAAGTTTCAAACTTAAGATGACGCTTCATGAGTGGTCTGCATCTACTCCCAGTTCAAGAATAGGGAGTGAAGTGGTGGAATGTGTCGACTACTTCACTTACTGGAGGAGTTGCATTTTTCCAGATGGACAGTTTTTTGACGAAATCTTAGCTCAGATGCGTGTGGCATTGATAAAATTACGCAATTTCTTGAGCCAGCGACATATCGGACAACTTATTAAAAGATGAGAATAGATTGTCGACAGATGCTTCTGTGTGAGGTGTAACCATCACGTGAGCGATGTTGAGCTTACGTTTGAGTACTGGGTAAGGTAAAGTTAATCAACAAAGTTTTAATTCTTCACCAACTGGGTTGACTTGGACATGTTTTCTGCCTGCTGAGGCACCACCTACCTCGAAATGCTGTGTTAGCTGAAGTAGGACTGCTTTGGAAGAAAGCTAAAACTATCCAGAACAAGATATGAAATCTTTACCTGTTGGTTTGATTCGTATAGATAAGAGTGGACAGTTGGTCTATAGTCCTCAAAGTTAAAGGAATCAATGGTTGTAAATCCATGGTGACAAAGCTCATAATTAGCAGATATCTCCTTTCGCTGACATCTTCAAAAATCTGATCATTTCGACCAACCCTCATTTTCTTCTCATCTCTTCCTATCCACTTTTATCTACCGTAATACCACTCTTTTTCTGTGCGCTTCTCTTATGTTTGCTGCTGTTAAGTGTGGCGACTAGAAGTGATGCACTTGTATGTGAAGTTCTACCTTTGTTTCATCTGTCTATCTGAGTCATACATGTATAGATCTAACGTTACTATGGTACTGAAGTAATAATAAACAAAATGTTTGAGATAAGAATCGAGAAGACAGACAACTTAACTAAACTATTATGAAGGTATTCATTTTAGATGGAAAACAAGTAAGCACAGTAAGATTAGCACTAGCCTTGACTCTTGATTATATGTGCAAACAAACTCTGATATGGCAAGATAAATAATCAATGCACACCCAGTTTAGATACTATTGTAAAACGATCTATACATAAAACAGGTATCATTTATTTCCTAGTTACACAACAATGATGAACAACCTCTGAAGATTATTTGAAATGGTTAAATATGAATAAACGTTGCTCTCAAGAGAAAACTAGACGATTCTATGTGTAAAATATACATTAGGTATCTAATTTAGTATCCCACAAGGACTTTACTGGCTTAATTATGATCAATAACTCCGAAAACAAACTTTCGTATTGCGCTAACCCCATAGATGATATTGATAATACAGCTCAAGCTTTTGTGAAAAAGTTGGAATCCATCCCATAGATACAAAGCAGGCAGTCGTCACTCGCTGTATTAAAACGAAACACTTACAAACGCTTTCAAGATCAATGACTTTCCACGAAAGGTGAGCTCATATGGATATTGCTTACAGGAAAGTAAAAGTACGTTCCACTTTGATGATTCAAATTGTTTGCCTAACTCTTTAATGGACAAGTGAAAATTTACAATACTCATAATAAATATTCATATTGAAATTTAATTTTATCAAATGAAACCATCTTACATTTGAAGTAATATCCATTGTTTCGATACTCGGTAAATATTGTGAACCACCATCAGGACATGTACGCAGACCACGAACAGATACATCTGGATTGAGTAAATTGTCTGTATGTTCTACAGACCAACTTTCTGTTCGATGAGAATAATTTCTTGATGTATTATTGCATACTTCAAAACTTGTTTCCATACTACTTTTTTGATTGAACATAGCTGATGTTGATGTAGAAATAATATCTTGTCTATAATTTATTGAATAATCATTATCTTGTGTAATACTATCACCAGAAATTGATTTTATTAATTTAAGTGATTCACTACAACTAGGCAAACTGGAATTTAGTTGTGGTTCATCATCAATAAAAAATATACTTCCCACATCATCCCATGGAAATTCTTCAGCGTATGTACTTGGCGGTTCATAAACTTGAACATCACTAGAATTTGAGTAGAGTGATGCCTTTAGATAGATTATCAGAAAAGGGGAAATTTGAACAGACATTAGCAATTTATAATGTATTCAATCCTGAAAATATTATCAAAAGTAAAAGTAATTAACAGAAGGGCTATTTGTTTAAACAAGATTATGTTGAACAACCAACCCATTAGAGAGTAGAACCTAACCGGCTTGTAGCGGTTCAACGAAAGTTTACCTTTAGCAGTGATATCGTAATACTTATTAGACTACAAAAAATGAAAAGGAAAAAATAAAGTTTAACTCTGTTACTACATATAGATTCCTGTATTGTCTTTCGGCTGAAAGGATTCTACAATAGTTAATGAATATCCGATTATGCAAACAATGAGAATGAGAACAATGAAAATATTTAAACAAAAGATTATATAATAGTGGACTATCTTTAGCTAATATACTAGAATGGTATATCTTCCAGCACTATATAAAATGATCACACTGATCAAAACACAGAAGAGTTGTTCCTCCAACTGATGTCAGTCTTCGATGAATAACAACTTGAAATATTTCCAAATCTCCACAACCCCCTCAAAATTTAATTGAACTAGTGCTCGTTGGTGACTAGCTTCGAGAAGTATTCCCGAAGTTCCAATGACAAGTCGTGACCGGTGGAGTCAAAGCCTGATGGCCGTGAGGACAAATACTCAACGATGACATTGGGTGGCGGTTTGCGCTATATCGTGAGCTAACAGAAGTTGGAAATATGGAGCATTGGATTGTGACCCAGTGGCTCAATGGTAACGCGCTGGCCACGGAACCTGAAGGTCGCGGGTTCGATCCCTGCTGATGGGGTCGTGGGTGCGCACTGCTGAGGAGTCCCATACTAGGACGAAACAGCTGTCCAGTGCTCCCAGGTTTCCTTTGTTCCTCCAACTGATGTCAGTCTTCGATGAATAACAACTTGAAATATTTCCAAATCTCCACAACCCCCTCAAAATTTAACAGAGGAGTTGTGTTAGTTAACACAAAAGCCTATTTGGTACTTCAGTATGCTTAAAATGTGATTTTTTTTTATGGACTCGCTGCAAAAATATGATAACAGGCAAATAGATATAAGACTTCTCAATTATCATATAAAATTGTATTGATTCTGATTGTAAGTGTACTGATGTTGAAGCGTGTAAGAAAGTGAACGCTAGTAAGGGGGGAACAAAGAGATGGCGTGTTATGGGGAGTTCAGTATTCTGGATGGGATGAGGAAGGAAATACATTTAAGCAATACAATTCAAAAATTTCAACCAACAGCCTGTATTCAGAGAAAGTTATTGATCTAGTTAACTTCTTATAAAACAGTTTAAGTGTAACTTCAAAGTTGTCAACTTGGTTGCATAACCGCAGTCTGTAGTCGAATTCGTTTGATTCTGTAAGATTTGAGGCTTCAACGATCCTGCTTCATAAATGCAATAATAAGGAAAGATCGTTCTGAATTTAAGGCGATCATAGAACACCACAAAAGTGTATATTTTACAGTAGTCATTTCAAATAGTTATGAAGTTTGAAAAATAAACCTACTAAGTATTTGTTTTCAACGCCTAAACTAACTACACTGAACAGCATGTAAAAGTTATCTTCGAAACAGGTTCATAACAAGAGATTATTATTATTATTATTATTAGTCCCTTGGGTTCCTAATGGGACATAGGGCTTAAGTAGCACGTCTCCATTCCACTCTGTTCTCTGAAATCTTTTGAACCTGGCTCCACGAATGCCCACAAGCTCTCATTTCCCCCTCTCACGATCTCCTCCATGTCACCCTCGGACGTCCAACTCGTCGCTTCCCATGAGGATTCCACTCGAGTAACTGGCCTGACGCGTGATGTCCTCAGTCTGCCTTCTCAGTGCATGGCCAATCCATCTCCACTTCCTTCTGCATATTTGTTGAGTGATAGGTTCTTGGTTGGTTCGTTCCCAGAGCTCCTTGTTGCTTATTCTTTCTGGCTATCTGATCTTCAGTAACGAGTGAGCGTAAGCAGTTGTTGATGAATGTTTGTAGTTTATTGGAAATGCCTTTCGTAACGCGCCAAGTCTCTGAACCATACAGAAGCACTGACTTGATGTTGGTGAACAAGAGATTATGGTAGATCATAAATAAAATGTCAAAATGATGAAATCGGAACAAAGATTTGGGACGTTTATTATTTTTATATGCTGAGGGAAATGTATTGATGTTGCTGTCACTAAATATATGGTTAACGGCTTTCGAAAAACTGTCATGAGTAGTTGTGGAGATAAATTGGATGTATGTAGTAAGTACAAATTAAAATACTTACATCATTAGCTGACTGAAACCAAATCGATAGTTACTACGCCAACGCGATAGTCAGGATTACGCATCACAGTAATTTAATGAGCTTTACTGGTTAAACACTTGTTTTTATCAAGCCCTAGTATGTCTGAAAGGCAGGTTGGGTAGGTGGTAAGACAAAAAAAAACAGTTACCGTTATATCGAAAGTTTTATACGCTATAATGGGGATTAAAGGGTGAATTCGTAATGCTAGCCGAACGGGGTGTGAAAGCAGTAAGTTAATTTTCACGGACGATGCTAACCACATGGTGGATATAGAAGTGTTATGAAACGTCACCCTCAAAAATAGCACATTCCAAGCTATGCTACAATATTTTGGTGCCGACCGTAAGCGTTTCCTATCTGGATGTAAATCAGTCAAACATAAATCACAAACTTTCAAAAAAGCTGTGTGTGATTGACCTCGAGCAAATGTCCTGTAGGTTATATGGTCACAAAAATCTATTACTAATTCACTTTCTTTATCACCTCCCTTAAGAAGCAAACATTCATGGTATAGGAAGTCAAGAAGCATCGAACGCTCTTATATCTGTATCAACACTTAAGTTCCCCCAGATCGTTATCAATCTTCCACAGTTTTGTATTATAATCTCCCTCACTTTCATCAGGTACTAGACAGTTATTTAGACCGACAAAGGAAAATGGGGCAATGACATTAGCTGTTAGTGATGTTAATGCAGGTAAGCATGAACTGCAGTTCACTCCCAGATGTGATGACAACAACAATGGACAGAATACTTAAAGGAAAGATTCAATAGGCCTTCCTTTACCTCTTATTCAGTAGAATTTTGAATTTAACACTTGTATATATTCTCCCATTTTTGTGGAAGTTAGCAAAGCTGTTGTTTATCTGAAAAGATTGAGGACGGCATGGCCACATGCGCAAACATTAAGGTACTCAAGGACGGCGTTCGAAGATTGTCGGTTAGATTAGATGAAATTTTAGCGAGTAAATGGTCAGCTAGACAACCATGGAAAAGGATTGGTACGTGATAATCTCTCATAACAGGCAATTAGAAATTTAAACAGTTTGACTGGTTTGCAACTACGCTTTAGTTTTGAAGTTCATGACAGGCACTTCAAAGTAGTCCAGGCACTGGAATATAATGCAGGGGAATATGGACAAACATACACACTTATGCATGGAAAGTACACAGATAGATGTTTGTAGAATGATAAGACACTGGAGATCACAGAATTAGTAAGATAGGTCAGTGTATATGCACTATTTTGATTAATGTTAGTTCGCGTGATGAAACAAAAATAAACATAAAAGCCCAAAAACTTTCAGGAGGAAGACTTAATATTGTTTACAAGTCAGAGAATAAATATCATTGAAATAAAAGTGTAAATTATCAACAAATGATCAATATATTTTTCTCATTTACATTTATAAATGGTTATATAAATGGGGAAAAGTATAAAAGTCATCCAGTTTTCAGAATTATAACTTCGATGAGCACCTTCAAAATATACCATTCTATTCAAAAACTTCAATGTCCATGTATATCGAATGCTTCATCTACTCAGACATCAATAATAATAATATTTATAACAAGTAGATATTCATAAGAATTTTGTGAGAATATAAAAAGCTTGTCTACGAATAGTTTAGCATATTTTAGTTTGTCTATTCATTAGCTTAACTCTGTTTGTTAAATTTCCAAAGGAATGTTAAGACCTACAAAAAATGACCTTTACGCTTTTTTTTTACCATATTCTTGTGAATACTGACTGACTGACTGATAAAACCAACGTAGAACCTCGCACAGAAGTCCATCGGATCAAGCTCCAACACTTCATAGTAGTATAGAAAAAGATTGATATGAAAGAAGATAAAGCGGCGTAAGGGAATAAACAATCTGAAGATAACGGTTAGTGTGACTATTCAAGCTTTAGAAAGTGTCAAGTAGTGAATACACTTATGCCATTGTTATCGATTTCCGGCCGGGTCACCAAGACTCCTCAACCACTGATTCCTTTCGTCTCGGACATCACAGCCAGGTAGTTTTAATTTCGTTACACGGTTTAGACCAATAGTTAGTGTCTTCATTGACTGGTGCCAGGTCTTGGTCTAGCCACTCTGAACCCTCTTCTAACATAATTCAACTCTTATTGATACTATCTATATATTGGAGAGCAAAATGAAGAAAGTACTGTTGAGATGAAAGAATATATCTCTGAGAACAATAAACTGTTCACTTAATAGAATTGTGGAAGTTCATTAAATGAGATGTTTGACTGTCATTATTTATGTCATGACTTTCAATGTTGATTGAAGCAGGAGTATAGCACCAAAATCTTTGAGAAAGCTACTATACAAAAAATACGAGTGATTGTTTGTTTAGTGACATGAAAAACTACCAAAGGTTCAAGACAGTAGGCATGATTGCTCTAGCTGGATTCCATCAACACATTTGTACTCAATCTACATAAATGTTTGTAGATTACATGTACTTCGTCTGATAGCTGGAGAGTAACTGATTTCATGTTGTTTAGACCTCAGTGATAACCGAATTTTACCAATCATCTTACAGTGTAGCCACCAAGCTAGGAGACTTACAATTACTACCCACTTAAATTGACGTTAGCTGATTTCAGGAGACGATCAGTTTCCTATCTTGATGAACACATTGCAAAATGATCAATAGAACAGGAATTCCTGCTGATTTCTTCTAATTATCTAACTACCTCTACTGTTATTCACTCATATATCTTTCAATGGTCAAGGCTTCTCATTTATGATTCAAGTTACTGAGAAGAAGCCTCAAAGAAGGCTATACCAGCTGGTATATTAGTTTCTATTGAGATGATCTAAAATCTAAATATCGACAGGAATGTTCAGGTTTTATGTAGGAACAGCTATCTCAGTCAATATACTAGTTAATTAGATCATGCTAAGAGTACAATTATGTCCAACTTCTATCATCTTTACTTTTCATGATACGACATACAAACAAACAGAAATAGTTACCATGATACTATCAAAATCCTAAATCTTGATAGACATAATTATCAATAACTTGAAACAGATAGTTCTCGAGACATTTACTTATGCTCTGAAAATACTATGGAGATGTATGAATGATTTTTTCAAGTGTTAAAATCATAAATAAGTGCTTAATACACAAAATAATTCAAGGATAGATATAAATTTTGATTTCCTTATAAATTAGAGAATGATGAAAGGCAGTTAATGATAATCTATTGTAGATTGAAATGGAAACAAGCTGGAAAATGTGAACACTAGTGTCTATGAAATACCTCCACTTTCAAATAGATAGTCAAAACTGTTACTCTGTCCATGGGTTGGAGGTAATCAGCAGGAAGTCCTGGACCTAGGTTTCGTGCTTGTTGTCACTCGTCAGCAAGGTGTATCTGCATCCTTGAAGGAAGTGTTTTTCACTCTCAAATCCGAACCCGTCACACAGTGTCGGATTAAGTGACATTGCCAGTGAGTTGTTGGGGTCACGAATAACCTCCTGCAGGATGGGATTAAATAAATTGATTAATCACTGGAAAACAACCAATTTCATGTTGTTTAGTACTGGGTGCTGACCAAATTCTATGGATCATTTCGCAATGTGGTTACCAAGCTAAGAGGTTCACCATCGCTTCCTGCCGATCGCCTCTAACCAACTAACACCCATCAAAGTGCACAATGATAGTGAGCTTCCTAGCCTGGTAGAAAACGGTCACCACTCAGAACCAAGCAACACGACGTTGTTTGCTTTCCAGTGACAAATCAATATACTATAGCAATGTCTTTAACACACAGTTTAAATAACCAAGAAAATTGAGTATGCTGAAGAAGAACAAAACTCACCTGATAATCATCCCAGAAGTTAAGCAACGGTTCATGTAAGTCATCATCTTTACTGGCCTTCATCTCCTCTTCCTCTTGTATTTCTGTATCAAGATTACCTGACAATTGAGATGTAGAATCAGAATTATTATTACTTTTCTTGTTTCCATTTCTATGCTGTGTGTTTTGTCTCCTGTTTACTACTTCAACTTCACTGATCGAATCAATACATGCTGCATGATTATGATTCTTAGTAGTATTATTATCGTGATGACCCAACTTCAAGTTATCTGTATTCAGTCCAGCTAACCAAGATGTAAATCGTGTTGGTGAATATCTGTTTCGAACTAATTCTTCTGCTTCTGCAGCTGCATTCAAATACGTCCTGACTTGCTTTCTCCATCGGCGTTGTTCCAGCTCACTTGCATCATCAGGTAGTGATTCACAACAATAGCTGCTGTTACTAGTTACTTCAGAGATGGAATTTGGATCTTTGTATTGGTTAAGTTTCGAAACTTGCCTTGTTCCACAATGTTGTCTAAGTATTTTATTTCTAATGTGTTTTGATAGATTTAGAGAAGTTGAACTGATACAATTTCTGGTGTTATTGTTTCCAACTTTCATATTTTGAATAAATTTATACTTTAAAAACTTTGCACTCTTTGATTTACGTTTAGTTTTTATTTTCAATGAAAAGTCTGAAAGAAAATAAAGGTTAGTGATTACTTTGATGCCTATTATTTCGAGATAAAGTCAAGTTCATTTTTACGGTGAACAACGCTGAGTTCAGTTGCACTATAATAATAATAATATTATTATTATTATTTGCTGATTTTTAATTCAATTTGAAAAGCATTTCTGGTACATCCGATATATCAAAAAATATGACATTGTAAAATCGGAATAAATAAGAGGTATGTGTAGATATTCAGAACCAAGATCTGAATTGAAAGATCTTAAGACAAGAAATATCTAACAGGTGGTTTACAATGGGGATGCATTTATAAAATCTCAATGAGGAAATTAGGTAGATTTTTGACGTTTTATCACCTCGTAACAGTCTCTTTGACAAAAGACAAAACCCGTTCAAATTGTCTTATAACTAATGAGGAAGAAAAGATAAACCGTGTCCCATCATCTATAAAAGGAGGTAAGATAAGTTGTTTATTGTCCTTGAGAAATAGAGCTAAAGTGGTAACAGAACGTAAAAAATATGGGCGGTAAAGTAAAACAGGCATTGTGTAAAATAATCAAAAGTTGTGTATATTGGCCCCGTTTCGACTAGAGTTATAACACAATCTGATTTCGCTTGCCAAACATATATCAGCATTCTCACAATCACCCACATTCAGTAATTATCAAACTACTTCCATTCACTTTGTCACTGATTTCAAGGAAACGTATATCTAGATACTGCGAAGTATTTATGATCTACAGACATAGCAATATACGAACTACGTTCCCTGTATGTTGTGAATATGTAGTCTGCATAGGCTAACCACATCACAAGACTGCTTTCACGCAATGTATTTACACAACGTTCGATTCAAACTAGAGACGTTCGGCATCTTTCTGTATTGAGTCACTAACTCTCCCGTAATATTGTTCATATTGGGAGAAAAATCAAGTGAAATATGTTGGCACTTTTAGCAAAATCCTTAAACCTAGGTGAAGACTTCGACTTTGACACGTTTTACTCTGCCGAACCATAAGCCTATGCATCAATTGGAATCTATTGCTGCTGAAACCGATTAAAACAATTTAAAAGGTTGTCAATTTAAGATACAATATGCAGCAATCAGTAATAGACGTTCAAAGTCACCATCTGTCAATATATTCCAGCTTCCTGTATGATACTGTAGACATTGTATAACCGATTTCATCAGATATTTGAAATCGCAGGCAGCAATCATCTCAGCATAGTTTTTATCTGTATTATATATGAAAACAGAAAGATGAATGCTACATGCAACTACTTATTATCTCTTTTATTATAGGTATTTTAATTACTATTACTACCACAATTATATTTGATTCTTCTTCCATCATGTCATCAAATAATTGTCATTCTATATATTTATGCAAGACACTGATGGTGCCTAGTTGTACATAAGCTTATTGTGTTTTTACATAGTGTAATAAGAAGACGGAATACACTTCGAGTAATACATCTCGAACAATCTGATCACACATTAACTTGTCGAGGCATTTTATATTAAGGATGATAATAGGGTAGGGTAAAATAAATAAATTAAGATAAGATTTGGAAAATATGAGGATTATAAGGAGGAATAATACATTTTTACACCTCCCTTGGCATTAAAATGAGATAAATATTTCCCAGGTGGGTTTAAGGAAGGGCAAACTGTTTTTAAAATATACAAAGGGGGTTTGAATTTTCGTATTGGTAAGGCTTCAATGAACCTAAGTATACGGTCTTGATGGCTACTATACAATGGTCTAAAGGCTGTTTTGGTATCATTCTTGTAAACTGTTTCTATAATATGTTTACATAAAATGCCTTGACGAGTTAATGTGTGGTCAGAATGCTGCGAAATGTATTATGCGAATAAATCACATTTCTCAGATAACCTCCGTCTTCTTATTACACTATGTAAATTCATCAAAAGGACTAATTATTTCAAATTTTTGTTTTAATCATGACAAGTCATCACAAGTCAAACGTCTGCAAGATTAAGGATTGTTGACAGAAGATGAGAACTAGTTTTGAAAGTGTCAACTTTGAAATCTACTCAAACAATTAAAATGCTTAAACATGAAAATAAGTTTATAAAATGAAAGTGATAAAATTGTTGAGAGATAACAGTGAGTATTCTTCATACGAAGTCAAGATGGTTATCGATATTGTTTCAATCTATTAGAAGTATGTATATTATTAAGTGTTTTTCAAGATTTTTTTTTGGATAGTGTAGATTCGAACACGTGGAATAACATAGTGATTTAGTCAGCCTTATTAGAGAAACTCACAAGTTAATTACCTCTCTTACATGTACTTATTCTTTCCGGGTACCTGTCTACATGTTGTTTTCCAACTGTTTATAGGGTGATCAACTAACATAAATGCGTTCATCAAGTTGCCATTCATATTATATATTTCAAGAAGTGATGATTAATTATTATTTCAATCAAAATAGATCCTTTAATAGATTAAATATGCTAATATAAGATAATAGAGTCATGACTAAGCAAATGATTGAATGAATGAATAAATAAATAAAGAGATAGACTAGCTAGCTAGCTAGCTGACCGATTAACCATCCAGTTAGTATACACATTGACTGATTCATTCCTATTACAATTACTATTATTGTTATTATTCTATGAACTCTGATGCTGAGTAAAACCGATAGAAAAACAATGGAAAAGAATTTCAATGACCTAACATCCCTCATTTTCTATAGTGAAAAAATAGTTAAAAGAATCATTCTTTGTTTCAATGTAATTCACACACACATATTTTCTAAAACTAAGGGCGTATTATTTTACATTTTAAAAATACCTTAAAGTAAACAAAAGTGAATTCAGTAGTATTATAGTAGGCAGCTTATCAAAAAAGAGATACAGCGTTGATTTAGAGATTTGTTCTACTCATGACTAACTATGAAATAGATCGACATGTAACTTATAAAATCTCTTTCTATGATTGACTTACTAACGAAAACCATTTGGTAGGGTATGGGTTTTTTTCACTTCATGATTTTACTTGGCAGTACTAGTCAACTTCGATTGTTATGTAAAGTGTGACTTACAGTTCCTGATTGTACGGCTAACTAGTGCCGAAATAACATTATAGTGGGATTTAGGATAATTTGATATGATTTACAAGAGAAGTCGATTGATGCAACTAAGTCATTTCATAGGTGGAAAGTCAAAATTGTCAAAGACGTGTGTACTTACAGTGTGACAGGTAAATGACAATTATTCATAACCTTGGGAATAAATCTCACTGCTGAAACGAATTGCTTACTTAGATTAACGGTGAGAACAATGTAAACCACTGGAATGTAGGTAAACATGACAGTTGAAGATCAAATAGGGTAAAAGATGTAATTTGGAATCCACTGCTAGTTATGAAGGCAGTATAGTTTTATATCCTATTTTCTAGCTAAAATGTTGTAGCGTTTAGAAATGATGAATAAGACGTCCATTTCATCACATTTTAGGACTCATCAGCTGGATGTAAACGTCTCCGAATGACTGGTGTTGTTTTCACTAAAACTCAAAACCAGGATTAAACACTTTAGACACCGGAGCACGACTCATTGGCCTGGTGCGTAATGCTTCGGTGTTTGAACCAACTTGTTCTGGGAATAACATCATTCAGTCCTAAATAGGACTAAACGCGCATCTTGGATTCCAATGCTAGTGACTACTCATCATTACTACCAAACTGAAACTACAAGTAATATCCAGGGGTCTGCGCATGAGCCCATGTACCAACAGAGACTGATCAATTCGATCCAGTCAGTTACGACAAATTACAAGCAACAACACCGAAGTATATAGTCTGCATGTTTTCAGCTGGAAATCGTTTCCAAGAGTCATCCATATAAGATTTCGATTTTTAGCATACAAAATCGCTGACTCGTAAATTATTATTGAGCATGAAATCAAGAATAAGTTTTTTCAGTGAGTCCTTTTCCTTTTTATGATTAGTCGTTACTGAATAATTTCTGACCATAAAATGACTCCACTGCATACATCATTAGTCACTTTCAAGCACTTTGCATGCAACATATTTTACAGAGATTGGTGGAAATGAAAAGTAACTGGGCAACCTGACCAGTCAATTAGTCTACACTTATGGAACACTGTTGGATTAGTTTAACAAGTCGTCTTACAATAATTGAATTACGGGTTCATATCACATTTCAATAATTAATTTCAGACAGGCAAGAAGTATGGGTAACCGTCATACTTTAGGTGTGACTCACTACCTGTGATACGAACCTAAGTTTATTTACTGAGAGATATTTCTTAATCTTGTTTCAGAACGTTTTGGTTAAATACTTTCAAGCAAAATATGAGGTACACTGGATTCATACATTGACGTTACTTACTAATTGATAATAGACTGGTAAAGTAAATTTTTATACAGCTAAAATTATGCATTTGTTAAATTCATAAACAGAAGCTATTTTAGTTTATAATATTTCGTTTTCAGAACATTCAGTAGATCAAAATTATCCTGCTATTTCCTAGCATATATACTACTGATGTTTCGAGTCTAGTGATACATATCATCACTTTATACCACAAGATTATGCTTTTCAGACTGTATAATTAGTAGTTACCAACTCCCGCTACATGGATGGGGGTAAAGATGATCAGATACAAAAATCCAAAGTCTTACCTAAATTGTAGATCAATAATAATAAATGCTTCAGGACGCGCGTTTCGTCCTGTTTGGGACTCGTCACCTGAATATACATGCACTCCAGTGCGGAATCATGTTGTTCCCACTGAGACTCGAACCTCGTATCTATCACTTCAGACACCAAGGCATTATTCATTGGGCCACGGAGGCCTAGTCACAACCGACCAGATTATCATATTTAACATTCAGACAATATTGAGGTATCTACATAGAATCCCATATACCAATGGCGGTCGAACAATTCGGTCCAATAAAAACAACGGAGAATTACAAGCATATCAATAAATAGTAATAAATGCTTCCTTTGAATTTGACATTTCTGGATACAGTTAAACATCACAAGTATGTGATATTGTTGCAACTGATTGATGGAATGATGTCCGATTACCTGTACTCTAAACTCAATGGTCGAACACACGCTTACTTCATGACTTTGACACCACCGACTCAGTATGGTCGATCAGTATTTATACTGCTGCAATATAATTGTCATTACTTAAAAATGCTTCAGGTGTATAGTTTTGAAATTCTGTCTATTAATTACCTACAACATATCTTCAACATATAAATATCATTTACATCTAAAGAATGGATAACAATGACCAATATTAAATAGTTTGTCCGAATGCCTGCTTGCCTATTAGGCAGGTTTTTTTTACACTTTGATACCATAGCTATCACAAAGACTGTAGAATTTTTATCAATGAAAAGTTGTAGGATTATGGAATATACGAAATACCAGCAGATAGAAGTAAACAACTAATTTCATTCATACTTCACCTTCACACCAATCTTTACGTTTGGTTAGCGTTACTAACCAACACAATTAGTGAGAACGGCTGAGAGTATAGCTCAAAAATGTATGTCTATTATTGCTGAATTAAGTTGACCAATGTCATGATAATATATCTAACACATGACAGAATTAACCATAATTATCAAGTTAATTAGTCATATTCAAGCCTTAGAAAAATTTAGATTTTCAGGAAAGTTTACCAGAAAACAAAATGAATAACAACAACTTCATTACCAAACCAAATCTAATTAACTACAAAATAAGCCACACCTATTGCATTAAAAGGACATTGAGATTTTTATATGTCCCTCAAAAGCTGATCACCTTCTACACACACAAAAAAAAATACTACTATTAACTTTTATTGAAGTTTTTTGACATCCACCACTATATTTGTCATATTTAATAAAACCAATCATAAAAATATCAATTTTAAGTGAAAAATCATTTTTTATGAAATAAACAAACCAAGAAGTGTATGATTCACCTAACAACCCATTACAATTGTCTATTATACTTCGACCATTGCCAGTATAACTTATTCACTTACCGAAACATGTAACGTGCTCATGAATAAAGAGAATAGTCTTCACTTGGAACTATTCCATTAGCTCAATCAGTAACATAAAGGAACTTTATGGGAAGACAACAAGCTATTGTGCGGTAAAACATATATATGCATGCAGACATATATATATATATATATATATATATATATATGCATTAGTGTAGGTGCTTATGTATATATGCAGTTAAAAGTATGTGCGTACACGTGTGTGTGTGTGTGTTTGGCTGTATGCCTCCGATATATACAGTTAGATAAGGGAATCGCCCAAAAATTATAATTCCAGTTAACATGGTAACGGTCTTCTAGATCAGACTGGCCAAGCAAATGATTCAATCAAGTCATAAATTACACAGTCATTGTGAGAGTTGACTGTGTTACATCACAAAACATCACATGACTGACACTTCATACTTAGCTAAGCTAATATTTACCATCAGTTAATCAAACGGAAACACGTGTATGCCAGAACTCACAAAGAGTAGTCATATCAGTTTAAAAAATCAATAGCATTGGAATAATAAATATACATAACTTTAAACATCCAGTTTACAAAAGAAAACTTAAATGAAACTTAACAGTAGAAAGCTGTAATATCTCAATGAAATCACTAAAAAAAAACTGTGATAAAAGTATGTCAACCTAATGAATCCTTAATAGAACAAAATGGGAGTCCTAGATTTCATATCTAGTTACTTGCATTATAATCCACTGGTATAGTTAACACTAATTGTAGAAATATTAGTCATCAGAGTGTTAATCAATCCACTTTCATGAGTCAGCAACAACAATATTAAGTAGTAATTTAAAGTAATAGTAGCTTACTAGGTGAACTGATTTTTAATCGTTTGTTTCTAATTCTTTTCAAGTAATACAAATTGTGTAATTTACATTTATTTATTAGCAATGTTTGCTTATTCACGTCTTTTGTAGACTTGTCAGTGTAATTATTCTTACAATGAAGCATATTCCATGAATTTATTCTTGTTCTATGAAAAATCAAAGATGAATGTGTATTCTGTGCATGTAGTAATCTTGTATTAGTTGACAGTGAACACGATCGGGCTGTATGTTCTCCAGATGACGATGATAATGACATTAGGATAGGAGAAGAAAAACACTTGAGAATTGTTCTATGATTTTGTAATCTTCAAAAGAAAAAGAGAAAATCATCAGTTATATTTTATTCTTGCTTGACAAAAAGTATGCTAAAGAAAAGATAGGAAATGAAGCATTTCTATGGTCTTACGTCTTAAAGGATTATATCAGTAGCACAACAAATAAAGACAGAAAACTTTATAAGCTCATGATTTAAGTCACCCAGGTATGAGGTATTACGTTCCAAGTTGGGACCACACTTAATTCAATTCGTTTTGAGTAGTCGGATGGGATAACAAGCCCTGATACTCTAAGTTTGGTCAGTAGTCTGACACGTACACCTCTACCAGGTTGCTGAGTTTCCTGAAGAGCTAAAAGTGATAACTTCAGATTTGTACGACTGGTACACTGAAGTCTGAACCGTTCAAACGAATCTCTGTTGTTAGACAATTCATCCTCATCCATTTTTGAGATTAATAATAATTTACACTTTGATGCTGTGGGCGTATAGCAACACCAGTGTAGTAGCAGAATGTACGATATGGCATTAAAAACTAAAGTAGCAATATTTTTAAGTCAACAGTAGAGAAATAATGAAGATTTACAGATGTAGCCAAAAAAACTATTTGATTGGACTTCTAACAGTTCACCTGATTTTTCCAGTCTAACTCAAGTAATCTGCAAAAATGACTTCAATGAAAATTTTCCAGTTTTGGCATGAAGCCAAACAACTGCAAAGGGTTTCAAACAAAAGTTATTGGATTTAGAAATGTATAGATTCTGAAAAACTTAAAATTATCCTACAATTTGAATACACTTACACTAAGACTTTTTCTAGGCGAAGTGACATTTTTTAACCAAAGTACCTTTCAGATATCCCACAAGAGACATGTTGAACAGCCCTTACAAGAAGATCCCAACCTGACGCATATTCTTTCTTATCGATAACACAAAAACAAGTTAAAAATGCTCAAAACGTTCATAGGGTCAAGTAGAAAAGAAATTCTTTTCAATAACAATGATTAAACAACCCTGTAAAAGTTCATTTGGATCGCCTAGATCTACATTGAATATCTGAAGAAAGTATGTTCAAAGACAATTAAACGACGTACTTTTTACAAAGTACAGTTATAAAATGAAAACAATGAGTGGAGCAACAGACAAAAATAAGTTGCAGCCAATCAAGTCTACAATGATATTTTTAACTTCCATCTACCTAATTATCAATTATGATAATCACACAAAGTCTATGAATCGTATTATTCTAATTCTACACAATATCTTGAAGAGCTAAGTATTACTAGATAACATCATAAGGTCATGTGCGGTACTGTTTGTTGATAGCCTAAAGTATTTGAAAATGACAGGAATAACCAATGAAAGAAGTGAAATAACAAGTCAGAATCAATAGCGGTGAAGAAGGTAGATCCAGCTTCTTTACATCATCCGACCAATTAATCTTATTTAATACTCGCATTGTTATATGTTTTTGAATTTGAACATATTTTCGTTGTAGTTGGTTAACACTTTCTACCAAAGTATAGCAACCTGAATATGTATAATAGTGTAAGATAGCCAATATTTTTTAGTCTCTGACGATCGCTCACAACTGAAGTAGACCTCAGTTCCCCTAGATAAACTACTTTACTATTGTTTCTTTTTCAAGATAAACTTTAGGTTACCAAAAAAACTTTCCACCTATTATATTCTATCAAATTCTTTCCTTCTAGTTCTTTTTATCTTTTAAGTGTCTTCTGAGAGCATAATGTACTCTTGCACGTTTTTAAAATGATTTCGAACTCACATTTGTTAAGCTAAGAACAAAACAAAGGAAAAAAGTTCCATCGGTTGGAAATGGATTTGGAAATGCTCTAAAATACACCACATTACTATTCCTAGGATACCTGTATGGGAGTGTGAATTTCTGTGATGACTGGCTGGCTGACTGAACTACCACCATCAAAATTGCACTCGACTTCATCTCAATTTCCGAATCAAGAAAAGATGCTAATGTAATATTAGCTGTGCGTTTCACACTTACATCTTCAATAGTGTTATTATTAACATTTTATAGACGTAATATTTATTTCTTTTAAGAATATTGTACGGAAAGTGAATCCGTTGAAATATTCCATAAGATAAGATTGGGAACTAAACTTACAAAACAAGAAAACTATACGTGATTTACTGCTGGATGGGAAATAAATGTACTAGCGTTAGTAATATTTACTTTGTTTCTTATTCTGTGTTGCATCTACAAATGATCTCCACACTTAAAAGGACTCAGCTGACATTTTTTCTGACTGAATCATGATACCATTCAGTGTATTTATGCTCCAGTTTCATAGATTCCCTCAACCAGTACGAGACTAAATCCACTCCATAACGAATTGGAAATATAGTACCGAGTTATTAGTTGTTAGTCAGGTTTAAAATAAACATCACCTACCTCATCAAATGCTATTTGTCATTCACTTTCTATTTTGAACTCAAAACTCCCATAGACTGCTATTTCATCAAACGTTAGCGATATTCCGAATGAAGGAAGAGTTAAATGCTTATAACATTCAATCTAGACATGTGACTTTAGTTTTTCATATGTGAAACTAGCGAATAGTTATCTAGATTTAAATCACATTATAAGCATTTATACATCAGGTTGTGTGCCACATTTAAGTTGTAAGAATTATAGATGCCAGGTAGGACTTCTTAGGTCATAGTCGATGTGGTGGAAGTAGGTTCAGGTTGGAAAAGGGCTCGGGACGCCTAGACTAAAACATGGCATCAATGCATGTAGTCCATGGCTGTTGGTTTGAGCCATGTAGGGTGATACAGACTAGCTGGTTGCGGTCCAGGCAACAAGAGGAACCAGTTGTTGCAGACTCTAAATGATATGACTTAGAAGTGGTGTCAGTGGCGCAGATGCATACACACATTATCATCATCTTAACCGCTGTACTCAATCTCATTATCTTCTCATTCTTCCTCCCTCTCTTTTACCACTTTCTACTTCTATCCTCTTTGACTGGTTTTTCTTTTCTTCTGCATCTTCTGTTTTACTACCTTCTGAGATAGTCAAGAATATTTGCAGCTTAGGTGGATGGTCTTGGTTGTATTGTGTTCTCTGAGCTGGGTTGTTTAGTTGGTTTTTGCGTTGTTACTTGATGTGTTGATTTGAGGTGTGACAACGTGGATCGTTACGCAGTAATGCCTGGTCCTATGTTGATCTTAATGATGATGACGACTTATGACTTAGTGATTAGTAGCCAATAGTTTAAACGGCGAAAATGCAGCTTCATAATAGGTGTGATGAGATATAGCTACAAAACACAACAGGCTTCTGATAAGAAAACACATATGAACTTACTTTAGTTTTTGTGGATGGTGAGATTCAGTAACAAGATTCTGCTTCCATTCATGCTTATTGAATAAGATAGTGTCAGGAGAAGAATTCGAATATGCGAAAAGGCTTCTGTCTGTTTGAAATGTGGTATTGACAGATTTATTTGAATTATCGCTTAATAAAAGTTTTTTACTTGGTTGCGAAGTTTCATACGCTATCATTTCTTGTTTTAAACTATGTCCAATACACTGTTGATCAGGTAAAGACACTGAATCATTTTCCTGATAATTAACTGTACATCCAGATTCATAAGTAGTCAAGATATTTTGTTGAGATGACGTAATCTGGACGCTTTTTTTAATATCCAATTCAGAATGTTTTCCCATTTTATGATCCAGTGAAGATTTAATCGACTGTTCACCGATTAGGTTGAAATCATTTGGAAGGGAATAACTGTTTTCCTCTACATGAGAAAACATTTGAAGCAGAAATAATATGGAGAGAGAAAAAATCAAAAATTAAATTTCAGACTTTTTATATGCTTTATTTGTTTGACTTTACTGTAAAAATGAATTGAGAGTCGAGTGCAAAAATAATTTCATTTCTATTCAACTCACTGGTTGAGTACAAATCAACCAATCAGCGAGAAGTTTTTATAGATGACCAAAAATGTTTCCTTTTGATTGGCTACTTATAATTATTCAATTCAAATGACTAATGACAATGAATAAGCTCATAAAACTTTGGATGATACAATTATCCTTACACTCTAGAAACTCAATGGAATAACGCACGCGTACACAAACATACATAAATATATGTATACAAAACGATTAATGCACAAAATAGTAACTACAAAAAGATTACATAAATTGATTTCTTAAAAGAAAAACTTTTGACTTATTTTGCACGTAGAAAGAAGTCTGTTACAAGTGTTGTCTGAATTCTCTACTCTTATTAATGACATTAATAGACACATGAGAGAAGAATACATAAATGAATGAGTTCACCTACCAGCTGATCGATTTTCTAATGACAATCTTTAAAAATGTGCTAACAAGGTAAGAAAAAATATATATGAAAGTTGATATACTACTTGAAAATTCTAAAAGACAGACCAGGTATAAAAATGAACTGAAGTTGTAGGCTAAATCATAGTAGACTGAAGGCAAGGAAGAATGTAAACATAACTAGACAAAATAAATTTATGTGAATTTATGCTTATACCAGACAAGCGAAATTAAGTGAATTTAGAGCAGAAAAACAGTTTTCGAATACTGAAAAATAAAGTACAGTAAGTGAAAAATATGTTGACCTGAAACAAGAACTAGTAACTCCTGTGCACTAAATCATTGATATATTTTACTGAGCTCAGGTTACACAGTGATAAATAATACTTAATGTGAGCGGTTTAATAGGTAGAGTAAGCCATATACGCAAGCAGAAGTGGAGCTCAGTTTGAGCCTAATATGCATCAGTTGGAAGTAAAGTGCTTAAACTATACGTCTACCAAAGTAGACAAACAGGAATAATAAGCAGTGTATGAGCTAACTCATTTTTAGCAATTGAACTTAGGTCAAAAAATGATGATCGACTTCTTTATCACAAAGTGACTATCCATCTTAGGATTTTCGTTGGATATGGCTTTCTGGTTGTATTAGAGAAAGATTAGGTGGGAAAAACTGAGAATTAGAAATCAACTAGTTTCTAAGTAAGTTAGGTAGTATTAATAGACAGATGATTAAAATCTTGAAGAGGAACCTATACAGTAGGTAATCTAACGTTTTACGATCAGCAAAGTACCCTGACAAAGAATTTAGAATAAAACGATCTTGCCAATACTAGAAACAAAGAAGGAAAGAAACCTATGGTAGACAATTTCTCTTTACCTATCGAAAAATGAAAATAGAAATAATAAAATTACTTTCTGTCACAGAAGCTACAAAAATAGCCTGAAACAATTGAATTACTAATACAGGAACATAGAATTTGTTTCCTATTATGAAATTAACACTAAATGCTATGTTTCACCAAGCTTAGTTTCCAGTGAAATTTATCTCTATGTGAGTAGATAACGTGCCATTAAGTTACCCTGTATTTAGAGTTGATGAATATTCAGTTCGGTACGAGATTAATTACGTTTAATCGGCATTAAATCTTATAAGTAGCATAGAAAAGTATATGATCGGTCAACTTGTATCCAGAAAGTGTATTCAGGTTCAGTGTTCAATATACGCATTAAATATATCTAGATGGCTGAATATTTAGGGATTCTTACCTTTCAAAAGTAGTCCTTGTTACTCCAACTTCATCAGAATCAATGATAGATAGTATCTGAAAGCATTGCGATGCAATGATCCGGTAAAACAAACTTGAAAAAACACCCTAGTTATTAAGGTAATATTAGTCTGGAAGGGTTTCTACTGGCAACGTAACATTGTAAACTGATATCTTTCAAGGATAATTACATTAAAACATGCAGTACATTTGAATTTATAACTTGCCTAGCCTTTGACAAGTTAAAGAGGGGTTAAAATAGCTATTTTAATCTTCAAAATACCAATCACAATAAAATCTACCACCTGTAATGATATAACATTACCAGTGACATTTTCTAATGTAGTTTAAGTAAGTAACAAATTAACTCATCTTACATAGTTTCAGAAACAATTTCCTGTGAGATATATCATATTTCGTTGTCTGTGCTAAGTTTACACAGGATGATGGCAAAACTAATCATCAGTTTGATATTGATCATCCTAATTTTTTAACAGGAGAAAGGGATCCTGGGATTTATGACCCAGGGCAAGTATATATGCCTGCCCAAGCAGGTGAAAAAGACTAGTTCCTTTACGTTTCTCCTGTTAATCATGATTGGTAACTCTTGTTGTTCATGCTGTTGTTAGTGGGGTATCTTCATCACTCCATCTTCTCTACATTCATTTGAAGTCCCGTCTTCCTTCGCTACCCTGCCTCCACTGTCAACTTGTTAGTTTTCGCCTGTAGATCCTCCAGTTTGTGCCACATCAGACACACATCATCCGTGAAATCCAAATCTGCTAGGCTCTTTTCATCCGTCCACCCAGCGTATGCCTATCTTCTCACTCCTCACTGTTTGTGACATGATCCAGTCCAGTTGACCACAATCATGTAGATCATGGGTGATATTAGACAGCCTTGTCTTACCTATCAACCTATCTTCACTTCAAACGCTTCACTGAGCTTCCCATTGTGAATTACTCGGCATGTGGTGTCTTCATATAGTTGTTGAATGAGATTGATAAGGGTTTGTGGTACTCCATAGTGTTGAAGCAGCAGCTGCCAAATTACCTCTCGAACGACACTGTCGAAGGTCTTTTCAAAGTTGGTGAAGTTGAGTTGAGGTAGAGAGTTGACTTCCATTCTATACTCTGTTCAATCATGATGCGTAGCGTTGCCGTTTGCTCCGCGCATCATCTGTACTTCGTGAATCCAGCCAGCCTGATTGGGTCGTAGTTTTGAATCCAGGTTATCCTTTAGTCTCTCCAGGATGATGCGGGTTAATATTTTGTTTGGGGTGGACAGGAGTATGGTTTCTCGCCAGTTCTTGCAAAGGCTTAGGTCTCCCAAAAGGAATTATTTCTTCTTATTAATTGCTATCTTTCTTAAGTCTGAATTGGCATTTCACTGCTTTCCTAATAAGATTGTAATGTTATCTAAAGAACATGTGATAATTATCAGCATTGATAGCAGCATAAGATTTGGTAGAGGTGTGTTGTTCAGAGCTATTCAAACGTAAATTGACAATAACAATGAAAAGTGAAAACAATGAAATAAAAGTCATGATTTCAAAAGCAGTAAGAAAACTAGAAGATGGAGGGTAATAAGATGTCGAAATGATGGAAAAGATTTATAGCTCACGATGGGGAAGATAGTGTTTTCGAGTTTTAGTGTTTCGTCGTGGACGTTTCATCACCAGGCTTGCTGACTGATTTCATAAAGAAGTATAGCATATTCGAATGTTTATATGGATCTTAGAAAAAATAATAAAACTTACTTTTTATTTTTCCTTCCCCACCTTTAGTGATAAACAGACCACAGCTGGTAGCAGTATCAGTACATGGATAACTGAGAAATGATTTCAGTGGAGGACTTTGTTCTGATTCAAAACCACTTTCATGGCCATTTCGGTTAACAGTAAACTGACTTTCGGTCTAAAAATGAAGAGAAAGAAGAAAGAGAAGAAGTATAGCTCAATTACAAGTAGACAAAAAATTAAAGAAAAAACAAATAGAAATCAGAAATGTAGATATCCCAGTAAAAATGAAATTGCATTGACTAGTTATTGAAATATAAGATAAAGAATGTCGTGGTCATATACAGGACGCACATATTAATTTATAATGAGTGTGAATTCTGAGAACCAATGCTTATTGAACTAGTTATTATACATCTGTGAGTTTACGCCCTATGCATCCACGGTATCGGCAAGATTATTGATTATACAATGAATAACGCAAGAGTATCATTACCTTAATAATTAGAATTCACTGTTATATCTATCTACATTTACGAGTATCCATATGTCTGATTAACTACTACTACTACTACTCACACTACATATAATAAATCGTATAGAATGAGTAGCAGCAATGACGAGATAGCTTTACTCAGTTTTACATGAAAGAGCTTAAATCACTTGTTGAGGATATATCTGGTGTGTAATTACAGGTTACCTCAGAGATAAAAAGTTAAATGTATGAGACTTAGTTAAGGGGAACGACTTCAGTAATCATTGTATTGGATTCCGGCTTACTAATTGTGCACAACATTAGTAAAATTCGAAATAAAAGGAAGTTTCATAATATCATTTCCTTTGTGGATACATACCTATATCTGACAGCTTACAGCTTATTCTCAGCCATTAATTATATGAGGAAATACCTGGAGACATAACCTTGTATAGTCTTAATTAGGTGATGTATTGTTAAGACACCATATTAAATAGAAAACGTTCAGGGACTGGAAAGCAAAATAGTAAGATGGTAAGAGAAAAGGTGCCATTTAAACTTCCAGTGTTAATAGCTGAGACGTAAACTGAACAACAGTCTTCACAATGATTACAAGCTTAGGTGGATGGCGAAGGCGAGAGAGATAAAGAAGGCGTCAGCATTACTTAGGAAATACCTGTCAATTATTTGGACTTATTAAAGATACAAGCAAGAAAAAAAGAAGGTGGTTAGTGAAATAGTCACAGAAAAGGAAGAGACCCTGATAACCTCTCAGGGTAGATGGCTAGAACGTGGCCAAGAACACTTTGAGGTACAGCTCAAGTGGCTCATAGCAACATTCCAATTGCCCAGTATCCAACCCAAACCTGAATGGGACGTAGATGTCGTCTCTCACCTTTCCTCCAAGTTGAGAAGGCCATTTCTAATGTGAAACGGTGCAAAGGTGTAGGGACTGACGGCTTTTCACTAGAAGTTCTCAAGGATGGAGGTAGGAAATTACTGAATACAGTGACGAATGTACTAGGTAGTATGTAGAAACCAGAATTAGTCCCGTCTAACTGGCGACATAACTGATCATTCTAGTCTATAAGAAGGGAGAGAATTCTTCTTGTGAAAATCGGAGGGAGGTGAATTTGACCAACATCCTAGGGTCCAAAGTTACATGACACTTAAAAGGGGATCGTGAGTAACAGACTGAAGAAAACCAGAGTCTTTGCATGCCTTAACAGGAGCGTATTGACCAGATTTTCACTCTTCAATAGATCCTGAAACACAAACATACCTACTGGTGACCGATAATCGTCATATTTCTTCTTCTGAAGGAGGTATTTGACTCTGTCAACTGGGAGGTACTGTGGGAATATGATTATGAAAGAATTACCGAGCAAGTATGTAGTTTTAGGCACAGCTTTCTACTCAAACGTTCGCAGCCGTATAAGCGTTGATAACAAGTCCTTTCATGAAGTGACGGCAACCACTTGTGTGCTCTATGAATTCCCGCTGTCAAGGTTTCTGTTTGATTACATCATAGACGCACTGATGAACACTTATAAACCTGAAGTACTTCTGCCGTTACAGGGATCAAAATACTCAGATGGTTTGGATGCGTGTTGCATATTCTGAGCCACTGCCTACTTCGAAGTGAAACTTGAGCTGAAGAATGATTGGTTTGGAGGAAGAAGGCTCATGGTGACTAGATCAAAACATGACACTGGTTCATGAAGTTATTTATTGTTGACATAAGTGATGTACAAAGGTATGGATAACCTGGTATGAATTCTCGAGATAACGGGAACTAGTGGTGTAAGACCATGGTGATACGTCCCAAAATCGATCACGATGGCACAAATGTAGTCTCTCGCTTACATCTTCAAAAGTTTGAACGTTTTGACTAACCTTTTTTTATTTCTTCATTCCACCCATACACTTTATCTACTTTAATGTCACTTTTCTCAGTTTACTTTCTTCATGCCTGTTCCTGTGTAGTGTGGTGAATTGAGCAATGCACTTGTCTGGGAGGTTGGACACTGATTTGCACGTTAATCTGTAAGTCAGCTGGAGTTTACTCTGGGAAATGCTGAAAGCAGTCAGACTGAAAGCTGACATTAGTTCAAGAGTTCTCTAATTGATAATCCAGTCCATACAGGGAAGTGTAGACATTCTAAGTGAATAAGTGAGATTTTTAGTTTTAAAATCTAGTGTGAAATATAATCTATCATAAGGCTTTTTCTCTACTTTTCTTGATAACCACACTATTTACTCCATAAGCTTTAATTACTATACAGAACCAAAGTGCCATATTTCTTAAGTGTTTGATAAACACAAAATTTATTATTTCAAACAAAGGTGTAAAGGTTTATGGTTATCTACACGAAATTATTTATGATTACCAATTATGAATGATTTATATTATTGCCTTAATTATCACTATCAAAGTGAATGTACAATGCAATTTAAACTTTGAGCAGCTTAAACTTTTAAAAGTGCATCACTAATTAATTTAAACAAAGAGATGAATCAGGTCGATTTATGAATTACTTTCAAAATATATAACAGTCTAGATATTCCTAAACCGAACATTAAGGTTATATATCTCAAAAAGAAAAAATTAACCAATTTCAACTAGTTAACGAAACTTATATAGATATTAATATTTGTCTCTTGGGTTCCTAGTGGAACATAGAGCTTCTGTAGCACATCTCCATTCCACTCCGTTCTCTCCAATCTTCTGAACCTCGCTCCACGACTGTCCAGAAGCTTTCATTTCTTTGTCATATGATCTCCTGCATGTCACCATCGCCTCAAACGCCCAACTCACTGTTTACCCTTTGGATTTAAAACGATATCCTGGTCTGGCGCGTGATGTCCCCAAATAGTCTTCTCAGTGTATGTCCAATCATATCCATCTCCGCTTTCTTCTGCATATTTGTTGGGTTCTTAATTGGTTCGTTGCTAGAGTTCCTTGTTGCTTATTCTTTCTCGCCATCTGATCTTCAGTATGAAGTGGGCGTAGGCGGCAGCTGTTGATGAATGTCTGTAGTTTGTTGGAAATACTTTTCGTAACACGCCAAGTCTCTGAAACATATAGCAGCACTGACAATGGTGTTGAAAATCCGGATGTTGTTCACGCTTTATGCTGAGTGCAGAAGACCTCTACACCGATTTCAGATTAATGAAAGCCAGTCTTGCTTTTCTGATACTGGCTTTGACATCGTCTTCTATGCCACCACCTGTGGTTGAAACTATGGTGCCTTGCCTAGGCATGTGAAAGAGACTAGTTCCTTTACGTTTCTCCTGTTAATCATGATTGGTAACTCTTGTTGTTCATGCTGTTGTTAGTGGGGTATCTTCATCACTCCATCTTCTCTACATTCATTTGAAGTCCCGTCTTCCTTCGCTACCCTGCCTCCACTGTCAACTTGTTAGTTTTCGCCTGTAGATCCTCCAGTTTGTGCCACATCAGACACACATCATCCGTGAAATCCAAATCTGCTAGGCTCTTTTCATCCGTCCACCCAGCGTATGCCTATCTTCTCACTCCTCACTGTTTGTGGCATGATCCAGTCCAGTTGACCACAATCATGTAGATCATGGGTGATATTAGACAGCCTTGTCTTACCTATCAACCTATCTTCACTTCAAACGCTTCACTGAGCTTCCCATTGTGAATTACTCGGCATGTGGTGTCTTCATATAGTTGTTGAATGAGATTGATAAGGGTTTGTGGTACTCCATAGTGTTGAAGCAGCAGCTGCCAAATTACCTCTCGAACGACACTGTCGAAGGTCTTTTCATAGTTGGTGAAGTTGAGTTGAGGTAGAGAGTTGACTTCCATTCTATACTCTGTTCAATCATGATGCGTAGCGTTGCCGTTTGCTCCGCGCATCATCTGTACTTCGTGAATCCAGCCAGCCTGATTGGGTCGTAGTTTTGAATCCAGGTCGTCCTTTAGTCTCTCCAGGATGATGCGGGTTAATATTTTGCTTGGGGTGGACAGTAGTATGGTTTCTCGCCAGTTCTTGCAAAGGCTTAGGTTACCTTTCTTAAGGATTTTGACAAGGTATACCTTTTTCCAATGAATCGACAGGTACCTTTTCTTCCTTCCTTTCTTCCAAACCTTCTGCAGTAGTGCGTGAGCATGTCCGCTGTTGTCTCTGTGTCTATTTTGAGTGCTCCTGGTGGAATTCCATCTGACCCTACTGATTTCCCACAATTCATTAGCCTTAAAGCGTTCAGGATTTCGACTTTTGTCGGAGGGCTTGTTTTACTTGTAGTTCTGATGTTGCCGGTGGTACTTCTGGACGAAGTTCGGGTAGTGGTCGATTCAAGAGTTTTTTGAAGTGGTCATTTCACCTTTTTTCGTTTCTTCTCGTTGATAACTAAGTTTCTTCACTATCGTTCACTGGTTTCATCTGTGTTGTCTTCCCTGCCAGATAGTAATCTGGTTATTTGATATAATGTTGTCAGATCTCTCTCTCTTACCTGAAGCCTGTTCTGCTTCAGTTGTGTGTCGTAGAAGTGTTTTTTGTCTTTCCGCACATTCCTCTTCACTTCTTTGTCCAGTGTTTTATAGGTTGTACTCAGTTTCTCTTCTCGTCGTTCATACTTGCACTGCTTTATCTTCTAGTACACCATCCTCCTCTTCTCTATCAGCTTCTATGTTTCCGTCGAGATCCATTCCTTATCTTTCTTCTTCTTTCTTCCTAATAAGAGTCAACGAAACTCTTTAAGGGAAATTATTACAAATCTACACAGTAGGAATCAACTATTCTGTTCAAGTTTACTACTTCATGATAATAGATATCATACATTGAATATCTCAATTGTTGTCTAGCAAACAGCATAACTTTTTCAGAATTCATATCTTCTTTCTGAAAAATGTCAGTATGACAATTTGTTCCTTAGAATTAATTTGTTCCAGTTACTCATTAACTATTATAAACTATAATGATCAAAGGATTAAGGATAAAACTAACCTCTTTAGAGTTGAAATTTAGTAAAGATTTATTCCAAATATCACTATTTGGTCTGCATTGACTGATATCAGTATTCATTACTTTATTTATATTCAATTTTGGATTCTGATCAATATAAATTGATAATTCTAATAAACGTAACCAAAGTGTATAACATTTTGCCTCTGATTCACAAACTCTTCTTGATAAAATATGCAAATTATTTTGAAATGATAAATCAGTCATTGTATTTACTTCAACACGATCAACTAGTTCTTTTATAGTTGATAATGTCTTTGAATATTGTTCTATCTGTTTTAAACAAACCTAAATTAAGAGAAATATTTTGATAAACAAATTGAAAATGTTACTGATAGTTTATGTATCTATGGTGTAATTTGAAAAAAAAATCGGTTGATAAGAATAGATGCTTAAACTATGATTAGTAAATATGATGACTTATCCTACTATATAATAATCAGCATATTTTTTTTAATCTAACGGTTCCTTAGTGGTAAATATCATCGAATAATAATGAAAAGCATGTAGGTTTACTTAGTGATGATCATCATAGTAATCAGTTGTCCGAAATTCTTAAATTCTTCAACTCTTGTTAATGATCAATTCAAAATATCAAATGAATCTAAAATTTTCTCAGAGGAATTTGAGACAAAAATAATTATTTAGAGTGGAAGCCAAGACACACGTTCTTTGATGAGCTGTTCACTTACTAAACGATTTAACTCATACCTGAATACTGTCTCTTCGATTTCTACTTCAGGATTCAACATAAATGTAAACTCGAGAATGACTTCAAAGGCCATCCTGACAACCAAACGAATAGCCAGTTATAATTTTGCATTTTATAATAAACTACCATTTTAGCCGAAATAAACGAACCCAAATTGGTTATTTCGGTTGCTGCTAGGATGGCCTTTAAAGTGACCCATTACAGGTTGACTTTAAAGGCCACCCCAGCAACTGCTAACAAAGTCACTAAGGCTTCTATATTTTATGAAAAACTACATTTCTAGTCAGAGTTCCAAAACTTGATTGGTTATTACAGCTGTTTCTAGTCACGTTATACTTGTATTCTGGCGATAGTAGAAAGGAATCATCTTACATTATAAACCAGGCGAAATTTAAAAAAAACCGATTATCGGGTATGAACCAATTAAAATCACAGAAAAGTAGTCACCGCCAGGATAATCACTTCAACCACAACAGAAGCATAGAAATAGACTGCTCAGAAGAAAATAGTTTTTCAGACGTTATTCCGTTATATTATACTTCAGGCAACGTCAATCCCAATGAAAACTAATCTCAGAACAAAACGAGTGATTCTAAAAGTGATACAACATTCTATATGTGACAAATCATAATGTTTCCGAGAGAGTACTTAACGCTGCTTTATAGTACAAGTGCGTTACTGCATATTTAATGTCATATGATAAAGGAGGCAGCATCGGAGATTAAACTACAAATCTCGTCATTCGTAAAAATACCAACTAATACACTTCTTTTTATCGAAGACACTCTTGTAGAGAAGGTAACTGATAAAATGCAGTAATGGTTGGAAGTATTTAGAACCAATATGCTTGAGGAATAACAGTAAACTGAGAAACTGTATGAAAGAGATGAAGTTGCGAAAACAGTAAAGTAGATAAGAAACCCTAATTTAGTACTACTTAATATCAGTCAGATGGGATAAACCTAATGGGAAGAAAAAAGAATGAATTACAGAAAAATCGTATTTCGCTCAGATTATGAGACAATGTTGCGCATAAACGGTTAGTCACCTTAATACGTCTTCACAAAACATAAATGATACTCACTGTATGATGAACAAATTAGCCTAGAATAGTCAAAATATGAACAGTGTTAGTCTAGTTGTCATTCGATACTACCCTTAATCCAATGAATACCGAGAGTAACTCTGCAAAAGATAGAAGATTGTAACCCAAAAATATACAGAAAAGTATATGCACAACGTTCAAGCGAGACTTCCATGATACAATAGGAGACAAAACTTTAAACTAAAAGAGAAAATGGAAAGGCGTGGCTTCGTGAAAATAAGCTCAAATTAAGAATAAACTAGCTGATGTGTATATCAATTTCCTTCATTTGCATATATTAGTGAAAGACTGTAAAGACGAATAACTTAGTCGGTTACAACTTAATGTTAAGTGACTTTAATGGATTATATTACCTTACTGGTCATAAAAGTATAAGTTCAGCTGAAGGTGTCTTTACACATCTTTTCTCGTTTTTCAGTTTATTCACATTATTTACAAGCTTAGAAATGATTATGATTTTAAAGTGACTGTTAAGTTCTTTCGAATAAATTTATTCAGCTTAATGGATCAGCTTTTGTTGGTATATGAATATTCGTTTCATTCTATTATGAGTTTTCGGTGAGGACTGGCAGTAAAATGCAAGAAGCATATTATTATTATCATCATTAATATTAGTATTATTATTATTATTATTAATATTTTCCTTTGGGTTCCTGGTAGGACATACGGCTTCAGTAGCACGTATCCATTCCACTCCGTTCTCTGCAATCTTTTGAACCTCGCTCCACGACTATCCAAAAGCTCTCACTTCTTCCTCACACGATCTCCTCCATATCACTTTGTTGCATATTTATATACATTTAAGTTACTGACTGACTGAAAGTCATAAGTGAAACCATCGTTCGATGTCCAGGTCACTTTGATTTGACTAGTTTATCACTACATATATTTGTAACCGGTTCACAGCTGACCACTCTATCCAGTAATGTGAATAACATTTAGCTTTTATGTGAGCAGTTAAAACACCACTTATTGTACCAAACAAATCATACATTATGATTAAAATATTTCAGTGTTTCTATTTACCACGATTAATTTTTTGCTGTTGAAAGTTACATTATCGACTGATTCGCTCTTTGGACTGTGTAGTATACGAACATCTATTTTGAAGTATATATATATATATATATATATATATATATATATATATATATATATATAATATATATATATATATATATATATGATTGTATTTGGCACATGAAACCTAATTACATTTCTCCAACCATATTTATTCACCGATACCTTTTTATCGACTATAAGTTCAGTATATTTTGTTTGATACCAAGCTACTTGAAATTGTATACTTTGGCAAACGATAAACAAGTCAAGGATGAATGGCTAAAACAATTCTCACCTGGTAATATTTAGCTGCTGAAAATTTCTGAACATCAGACAATGACATTAGGCATGTCATCCAAGCAGAAGTGTTTGGTAAGTCTAAAAAAAGAACAGATAAAAGTGATACATACAATTGTACGCAATCACCATGTACATAGATTAGAGAAGAACAACAACTCAGGATCAATTTTTTGTTGGTTAGCTAGTTAATTTCTAGTTTGATTCTGTGAAACATAAAATCACTTGAGACACATTATTGTACTTCAATTTTCCTATAAATTTTCTCAAAATATCAAGATATGCATTTTTGATCATTTTTACTGTTTTTACTGAAATCCTGATAAAAATACAATATATGCATAGTTTACTATGGCAATATAACTTTAATGGATACATTTGTTATCATGCGCCTTCGATGAATGTTAGCCTTATTGTTCTTATATTTCTAATCTTGCATTTCAACATCGGGTCAAGTTGTGTGAAAATATTTCTATATCACACATATAAAACCAATTTAGGCTAAAATTCATCACTATTTCGTGAAGAAATACTCACTTGAAGTTAACATCTCCAACCACGCATCAATTTTCTCAAGGTCCAGTTCAATATCTATGGGTAGTGAAAAGAAAAAGTGAGCAATTTGCTTCTCAACGAAGATTCCAAATTAACTGACCAATGAGAACATCAAAGTCAAGTGTGATAACAATGCAAAATATGCTGACAACAGTTCTAATATAAGTCTTACTTCTAAGTAAGAATCATATTTTAGAAATGAGGATACAATTTTCCAGCTATGATTAGAAAAAACAAACCATGTGATTCAAAACATGGATTTATTTACTTAACTAAAATGGACTACTTATTTCTTATTGAGTAGAAAGAAATATATTTCGTATTTTAAATAAAAACGATACAGAAGTAGATTTCTACTGTGGAAAGGATAACACAGAAACTATGATTTCATTTGAAAGGAAATCTAAGTCACAGAAGGTTAAAGCCAATCAAACCAAAATCTTTACCTATCCTAATAAACTTGATATATGTCTGGGCTGAATGTAGAGAGGAAAGGATTAGGGTCATAATAAAAATATCTGAAAACTATGAAGTTACCAAGAACGAAAAACGTTGTCCTAACGTTATCGAGTTATTGATGTGATTTTTTTATTATATACTTAGGAAAAAACGAGTAAAATTGTACTGCGCCAGTATAACCAATTTGTAGTCTCAAGTGAGTCATTCAACTAGGTCAAAATATATGGAAATAAATTAAATGCTCGTTCATGATGTATATTTAGTGTTATATTGTTCACTGATCTACCTACCTACCTATCTAAGTACACAAGTGGTCATTGAAGTGACCGAAAGGAAGTGACTGACACAATAATATGCGAATGTTACCAACATAATAAGCTACTTGGGCTGGATACGAATAGCGATCGTTCTCCCTTAGACATGATACTTCACTGAACCACAAAGACTGGCTTGTGACTGCAAACAATACAACTTTATTTGATGAAGAACATATCATTTATATATAGCTTTCACTCAGCAAATGAAGCCACTAGGTCAGAAGTTGGATACTTATTTTGATTAGTCAACTAAAGGACAAAGTTGTGCAATAAGTTTTTTTTACTACTCACACAGAGTTGAAATCTAAGTTGAAAGAAAGTTGAAGTCTAAAACTTCCATCTAGTGGCTGATAACTTGAAATTTTGATTTTGATTTAGGCCGCTTCCAATCACACATGCAAAAGAAACCATCAAAAACTATTATATCAGTTTGTTAGCAAAACAAACTTCAAAAACTTATGTTCATATCCTATTTGAATAATGCTAGTACATTTTAATCCTGAAGTGTTATCCAATACTTAATTTATTCAAGACAATAAGCTGAGATTTTGACTCTGGTGCATTGCAAAGAAGTTAGCACTTACAATATCAAGCAAAACAATGTCAAAAATGTGTTCACTACATTGAGATTGGAATCAGGTGGGAATTCGTTCAGTAATCCACCTCTTGGAGTTATTATGCAAAACTGTGACTAATAAGGTCAACTGTGTGTAGGTGGCACTATCTATTATTCATCGATAACACTGAATAACGACTGTTTATATTGCCTGAAGGTTGCTTACCGCTTAGTAGATGTAATATAGTATAAAATACATATCCAGTGATACTTGGATTTTATTGGTTTCTTGCATATATGCGAATTCGTGAGGAAAAACATTTTGAATGATATCAATTCTTGATAAACCACCAAAATAAAGTAAGTATAACAAGTGGGAAAACCAGCATTGATGAGACTTAAAGTGCCAATACTCAAAGAAAGTAGCCTTTTTCACCTATCTAGGCAGCACTGTTTCAACTACAGGTGGCGGCATAGACGAGGATGTCAAAGCCAGGATCGGAAAAGTAAGACAGGCGTTCATTAGCCTGAAACCAGTGTAGAGATCTTCTGCACTCAGCATAAAGCATAAACAAGATCTGGATTTTCAACACTAATGTCGTCAGTAAGTGCTCCTATATGGTTTAGGAACTTGGCGCGTCACGGAGAGCATTTTTAACGAACGACAGATATTCATTAACAGCTGCCACCTACACTGGCTCGATACTGAAGATCAGATGCCCAGAATAATCAGAATAAGCAACAAAGAACTCTAACCTGGCAGCGAACCAACCAAGAACCTATCACCCAACAAATATGCAGAAGGAAGTGTAGATGGACTAGGCATATACTGAGAAGGCCTATTGGGGAAATCACGCGCCAGGCCAGGCCGTCGAGTGGGATCTAAAGGGTAAACGGTGATTTGGGCGTCCGAGGTGAGGGTGACATGGAGGAGGTGGTGTGAGGAAGAAATGAGAGCTTGTGGGTAGTCGTGAAGCGAGGTTCAAAAGATTGCAGAGAGCGGAGTGGAATGGGCACGTGCTACTGAAGGCACATGTTCCACTAGGAACTCACGGGACAAATAATATTAATAATAGTACTTATTCAAACACAGAAATATATATAGTGCACCTTTTGGGGATATCAAAAAACCTGCAGACTTTAAGTCTGTTCAATTCCATGGTAACTTGTTTGTTAAGTGTACCACTTAGTGAAATCGTATTGATTACTTCGTAAAGTTTCAAGCATAATTTATTGTTGATTGTAACATCAAAGGTAATTCCATAATTTTCAAACACCTTTTCAAAATTCTATATACATTCTTGCCATTTAATTAGATGATAGAATCAACAAGCTGCAAGTATGAACTACATTAATGACTGCTGTCAGTTAAATGAAGAATACTAGCATAATTAATTCATTGGAAGTGATTATTCTGTAACCGACAACTATACAGACAACACTTTTATTTAAGTCATTGAAAATTCAGTCTATTGCTGAGGAAAGCTAACAGTAATCAGCAATAAGAACACAATTGTTGATGATACCTTACTAAATTCATTTTAATAAACAAGAAGATAACCATACCTCTACACCTACACAACATAAAATTCTCGTTTCTGTCTAACATAAAGTAGTCATTTCCAACGGAATTTAAAACAACAATGTACAAAGTAAACTTTGGCTATCTAGTGGAGTTGTTACTTTCTTAAAAATGGTTAAAGTATTAATTTTTATGGTAGTCACAAGTCAATACATTTCCATTATTTTACCTATCATAAAACACAAATCATACTTCGAGAAATATCATCATAGTTTTTCACTTCTCCAGACCTCTGATATATTAACCAAGGAAAAAAAATTATTGACTGATTGGGAAAGAAACACAAAGCTGATTCAAACAGAATTAGTGACAAATTACATTTGCTACCATTTTGAATTACTAGCCTTGCTGCGACAAACAAGACAATGTAAAACCCATTAAAAAACCTTTCATTAACAAAAGCATACTACTAGTTAGTAGTACTTAGTGTAATTCGGCAGCACCACAAGCTGAAACCATAAAGTCCTGTCTTCCTTGAAGTGATAAATCAAGAGCTAGGGATTATTTATTCATTTATTTGTCTGGTACTAATAAAATTCTAAGGTGTCTGAATGTAGATCTTTTCAAATTTCCGCCTAGGAATGTTGTAAGAAGGAGAGAGCTGTGTGTTAAAACCCTGAAACAAATACCAAATTGACAACAACGAAAACATATGGTAATTTATAGTTTACTGGTTACAACGTATTTTTTTGACCTGTGAATTTTTCAACATAAAGTTAAGTGGGTGCTTGGAAAATTTGAAACCCTTTTTAAGTTACTTAAATTGTTTTCAGAAAAACATGAATTCGCATAGCAAGCTGATATGTTAACATAAGTTTATGCAATCAGTCCCGGTAATTAACATTTTTACTTGTTTTACTATTGTTTGTTGAAAAACATTCTAGTACACTGTAACCAGAAAGTATGGAACCATTGAATTTCGACCCAGTGGCTCAATGGTAACGTGCTGACTGTGGAACGTGTAGGTCTTGCGTCCGATCCCTGATGAGTTCATGGGTGCCCACTGCTGAGGAGCCCCATACTAGGATGAAACAGCTGTCCGGTGCTCCTAGTTTTTCAATGTTCCTCCAACTAATGTCAGTCCATGATGAATACCAACTTTGAAAATCACTAAATCCTCACAAGCCCTTAAGTTACACTGTAACAGTTCGTCAGATGACTCAGTATCTCAGTAATAAATATCATTTTTCCCAAAAAAATTCTGCTTCATATGACTGAAAAATCAATTATTCCTAATCATACTTTTAAGAAGAATTTGATTTCATCTAACAAGCTCATACAATGAATGGTCTATGGATAAGATCACTATGTCGAACCTAATAAATACACTCTGCCTTCTATCACAAGTTAGACTATTCAATATATGTATATACTTTCATTCCACCTTGTTTCATAAAATCTCTTGAACAGGAGATCCTAACGAATATGGTGAATTGTTGAATAAATGGAGAGCAACAGAAATGTATTTCCCAAATGATTACAAAAATATCTGCAAGACTTAGTTAACTACCTCTGATAATAACTATTCTCAAATATTAATCGATAAATATAGCAAAAAACAAATACAGTTTGACCAAATGTATTTAGTAAGAACAAATTTCAGTTTAAAAAAACCTCATACTGATTGATTTAAGGTCAACTGTACATTTCACATAATACCAGAGTTCAAAATAAGAATTTCCCTAGGTATAAAGTATTTCTTACTACTTATTTATATAATCTGTTGGATAACTGGCTGTTTTTAGTTGTATCCTTAAAAAAATTATCATTATATTATCTTCGGTTCTAAGGCAGGTATACACTAGAGTTAACATAGGCTACCTTATTGGAAGGTAATGTTATACAAAAGTAGAGGGTTAATTCGGAAAATATCAATTCTGTGAAATAATCTTCTTTTTGTAGACGAGGTATTGAATAAAAAGATATATGCGAATATTACTTGGCCAAAAGTTTCATTATCGACAAAATAAGATATTTTCAAAATAATTGTACTGATGTACTTACATTAAATCACAAAAATAATTCTCAATTAAAACTTTTTAACATTTGATTAAAATTTCTTTCATTCAGTACATTTCATTTATATATAAAGTAAAACAATACCACTGAGATACACGGAATA